TCCACAATTCAACCACCTAGTTCATTTTATGGACATAGTGAGCACCAAAGCACAATTAACAGAGATATAGCATCATGTTCAAATAATGTATCACACATGTAAGTTGGGCTTACAGTTCCTCAGTTATTTACTTTTCCATTTGGGGATGAAAAATAGGCGACTTTCCCAGAAATTAGGTGGATATTAAGAGGGTTCCTGTGATGGTTTTCTTTTTTTAAATGTGATATTTTCTCTAGCTTAAACACCCACGTTTTTTTAAAGACATTTTTAATTCAATTTTGGTATATAACAAAACAAGTATAAAGAAACAAATGAAACTTTAAACAAGGCAGCTAACACATGGGTGAATGGAACTGATGGGAATGATGAAAGTGGGGACAGACAGAAGAATAAAGAAAAGTATGGATAAATGGACAGAAAGATGGATAGTAGGAGGGAAAAGACAGATAAATGGAGGAAGTGAATACAAACAGACAAGGCTGAAAGAGATCAATCAAACTATGGATCAAAAAACAGCAGGATGATATAAATGAGTGGAAAGAGGGATGGATGGATAACAGGACGACCAAAAAGCACATTAACAGATGAACTAGTAAATGGATGGATATTCAAATAAAGAGAAACAATTCTGCAACATTTTAACATAAAAGTTTAATTTTGACCAAGACCCTCTTAAAAGGTATTAATTTTTAAATTATTTTCCTTGTTAAATGAAGGATTTTTGAAATTGTTCAGCAGAAATGTTTAACAGCTAGAGGGCATGGCTGTATGCTCATGCTCATCTCAACCAAAGCAAAGCAAAAGAGGAGCAGCGGCTACCGTGAGCTGCTCGGCTAGCGTTTAACCCTTAAAAGAAGAACGCGTGTTTGGTCGCATTGTTCACCTATTGCAGTCGGAGTCCACTGCAGAAACCCCCTCATTGAGAATTTCACGGACTTTTTCTGGAGAAGTCAGGCTGGACTTATTTTGGTTAGAAATACCAATTCTCTCTCCACGGATCCCTTCGTCCGTCGCCATGGTCCGCTCTAAATAGTCTCCTCCGGAAACTAGGAACTAAGAAAATTGGTTCCTACTGTTCAACAACCAAACCCATCAAACATATGGTAGTAGGTGAAATACATTTAAGCCACACTCTTATTTACCTTTTACAGTTTTCATTAAACTTTCATAAATACCTGTATTGTCAGGTTTTCTCAAGCAAAACATTTCATAGAGAAAAGGCATATTTACAGCTTTAGATAATAAATTCACATTGACCACACCAAATCAAAACACTGCATGTTTGCACCGTATATATTTGATGCCCTGAACTTCCATATCAATGCGTTTTTTTTTTTGCACAATGTCTTTTTTTTCTCCCACACTGTTTACATTTGATCACTGCATCACTTTAAGGAATGGAAATATCATGAAAGCTGTACAAAACCAAATTTTGATTTGTATACACTGTGTATACAAAATGACAATATAATTGTTGTTTAAGCCTAAATCCCTAGATTAAGTAATTAAAAACACAATTTCCTTGTAAAAGAGCAGAAAAAATAAATAAATAGATAAACTAAAAATAAATAAAGCATTCTTTATTAGAGAAAACTATGCATAATCAGTTCAATTGTGGAAATTTTTTAGCACTTAGATCAGTCAGTAGACCTTCATCTATGTTAAACAGTATCTACAAAGTTCTTAAGATGTTGACATGTAGAAAATTGCTTAAAAGCTCAACAACATGATAAAGGAGGTAAGCTCTGTTCTAGGAACTCATCGAAATCCTCTTGAGATGATTTCACATTGAATAATTTTTCATAAAGCAAAGAAAATTATGAATAACAGTGATCATCCTCTTCAAAAAAAAATTGTTAAGCAACAAGTGAGTGTCTTCAGTTTTATACAAACTGTTTGATTTACTTCAACATTTAATATACATTTGGGATTAATAAAATATTTCTGGGTAGAATTTTTAATTGAATAACTGAGGTGAACAAAAGATGAACAAAAGTAAATCTACTAATATATGTTATACATTATTCTACAATGAAATAACATAGTTATTATATAATATAGTATAAAATAATTTGTTTTACAAGATGTATCATAAATAAAAAGTTAAATCCTTTTAACACGACTTACTAAAAAGCCACTTTAAAACATATACCGGTAGCAGTTCTTAACAAATCTTATTCAGATTTTTTTTAAGACAAAACTTAGCAGAGGTGACAAATATCCCTAAAAACTATAGAGTAGCGAATTATTCATTTTGCAGACGTACCTTACAATACGGAAGAGGATAAGGGCCACCGAAAAAAAAGTGAACTGAATTTTAAATATTATTTCAGTTTAATATGGGAAACTAAGTCAGAATTCTGACTTTAATCTCAGAATTCTGACTTTTTTCTCAGAATACTGACTTTAATCTCAGAATTCTTACTTTTTCCTCAGAATTCTCACTTTAATCTCAGAATTCTGACTTTAATCTCAGAATTTTGGATCTTAATGTAGGCGGGCACCATGAAGGAAGAGATGTGGGAGCACTCAGTTTCTGTGACAAAGATGTGAGTTGTTTGGGAGGGCCAGTAACACGTTGGAGGAATTAGGTGACTTTTTACGTGCCCTAGGGGTCCCTGGTTATAATATTTCATTAATGGAAGAAGGTGATTAAAACAAGATAACTAACAGACATGGCTATGGCTTGAAGCTAACATGTTTGTTAGCTGTCATAATTCTGAGAAAAAAGTAAGAATTCTGAGAAAAGAAGTCAGAATTCTGAGATTAGAATTCGTATTTTTTCCCATATTAAACTGAAATAAAATTTAAAAATCAGTTAACCTTATTTAATTTTTTATTCAGTGGCCCTAATCCTCTTCCGAACTACTAGGTTACCTCTGCAAAATGGAAAATGTGCAGGTTAGACCATAGATATCCATAATAAAGGCTAGATATCTTATAGCGGAGTCTCAAACGTCATCACCGGCGGCCATCTTACCTCAGGCAGGCTTTCTGTTGTGCTCTGTGGTACCTAATGTAAGGTGAGTGATCAGCACGAACACAAATACTCTTATCTCACTGAATTCTTGACGGATTTACAAACAGTTTGGTTTCTTACAAACATTATGAACGTGGCTATAATTCTAGATGCTTGAACATGTCGAAACTGCATATTTTCTTGTCGAAAAAGGACTTAATCATGCAGCATAGTTGTGCATCACGGCTACTTGCGCAAGTTATCAAGGCTGAGATTATTAGTCAATTATATAGGTTTTACTGACACCAATAACGATTGTATGACAATTAATCTTTGGTGTAAATTACAATATTTGTGGATGTGGTTGTAGTTATTAGTTGGCTAATAACAATAATCTGAGTGTTGTTGTATTTTCATTATTAGCCTAACGTTAGCTGGCTAATAACAAGAAGCTGCAAAGTGAGACCTAACGTTAGTAAGTTAGCAGCTAACGTTACAGTTTAGCTAGCTGCTAACGTTAACAAGCAACTTTACATCAGTGGAAGAGGCAGAATTTAACATGATTTCCAATCGATTTGGTCTGTCAACACATCTTACATTATGTTACAGGAATTTGCTGGGTTTATTAAAAGGAAGATGCCAGACTTTTGCTATGACATAATAGTATTACAAGATTGTTGTTGACTCAAAGCTTTTATAAGTTTGTATTAGTTTCCTTTGGACAACTTAAAGATGGTGTTGTGCCAAACATTTTCAACTTTCCAGCTCATCTTCAAAGGGCATGTGTATCATTGAAATTTAATCACATATTGATATACCAATCTTATACACCGTGAATTGTTGTTGGTCACTTTTGTTTTTGTTTCTGCAGGTTATATAATGTGTAAGCAGGAGGAGAAGATCTTCCATCCCCGTTTGCTGACATTCCTGCACTAGTACATGACCACAGCTACCTTCCTGTCCGCTTTGATGGCCTTGTGGACCACGCTCTCTTGTACATTACACAGAAGCTCAATAAAACCTTCCTTTTCAAAGGGCATTAGCCAAGCTATGTTTTTTGGGTCATTTTTTAAATCTCTGTCTTCCATGTGTATACCATCACAGTAGTGTAGGTGGGGATTTCAACATGCTACATCTATATATACTTGTGAAGGGGACTATTGTACCAATTTTAATAGCAAATAAATGTCACTTTTATAATGGTTTAAAAATAGGAACTTTTGTGTAATTACCCCTGATATAATATATTAATCCGAATAGTCTACATGAAACTTCAAAGTGTTACCTTTAATTTGAAACCTGGATTATGCTTCTACACCAAGAGGTTGCCACACAATAAGCCTTTTCTGTCAGTATTCCATATTTTATTATAACAATAATATTCATATTATAAAAGTATGTATGTAAATATAAATAAATTAGGACTGTGAAATAATTAATCACACCCAAATAAAAGTGTTTATTTATATATATATATATATATATATATATATACACACACATATATATATATATATATATACACATATTTATATATATATAGATATCTATAGATATATCTATATATCATGTTGTCATTCACTACACTGAGTTTTAATATCATATATTGATTTAACATAAATACCTTGTGCATGTGTATATTTATTGCAACTGTATTTTCTATTCAATGTTCTTTTCATATGAAATTCCATGGTTATAATTATTCATAAGTGTGCAGTATCATAACTGCATGTCTGACTTTTGTTTAACAAACCAAACAGTTTGAGAATCGTTAGACAATTGAGGAAGTTATGGTTATTTCAGTACATGCGCCTTTAAAACACAATGTTACGAATGAGCGAGCTGCCTGTAGCAAGATGGCCGCCACGTGCGGACGTCGACCCCCATTGGCCAGCAGCGCGGACGAGACATCTAGCCTTTATTATGGATATCTATGGGTTAGACCTACTCAATTAGATCATTTTCGCCTTCATTCATAACCCCAAACGGCAGGTGGCGCTAAATACCACTTCAGGTTGATTCTCTACAGCCAGTCGCCGTGAATCAGCAGAAGTAGAAGGGTCTCATCACCGGTGGGGCGAAAAGAAAAATTGTCAGATGGCTACGAAATAGCCTGAAATGCGAAATGAGGCTTGTTCGATTTAGTAGTCGTTGCATTTTTTCCACGTGACACCTAAAGGGTCTGGGGCGCAGAGGGAGAAGACGGAGACGAAAGATGTCGGACGTCGGAAGCGCTGACAGTTTTAAGCAGCTGAATAAATTTGAGAAACTGACAGGCAGGCCGCCGCACAGAGGAACATTAGCAGGTCGGTCAACAACAACAAAAACATTCAAATCATCGACACTGTTTTATTCTCACTCACATTACCTCACCAGGATGTCCTGAAATAAGTGATAAGATCATGCTAACTCCTTACATTTAAATAGAGATCATTCATATGTGTGCTGTAGTAACTGCAGCAGGGCAATGTGTGTTTTTTATGTTCTTATTTTTTCATAATGGCTAACATCACCTTGGTAAATATAAAGTTTAAAGCTTCTGAGTTTCTCTTGCAGTTGCCTTGCAGCAGCATTTGTATGTTTGACAAACATAATGAAAAACTAGTCTAAACTGTACAATCTAAACCTGCTGCGGGACGTTTTTGATTTGTTGGATTGAAAATTTGACTTCAAACTGATTTTTTTAATAGTTGGCTCGACATTTATGACGTGAGAGAGTTTACTCTTCTTTATGCCAACATCTATTGTTATGGACAATTATTTTCCTCCTTACAAGACTTATTTTTTTCCTTTTTTCTTAATGGAAATGTTCCAATCACCCAACATAGGGTAATATATCAGATAAGGATTAACCTTAGTAAATTCAATGCATAGTAGTGAATCAATTATTTGATTTTAAGTAAAAAGGAAAAACTTGACTTAGATTCAACTTTATTTATCTTTTGAGGTTAATCCTTCAGGTAAAATTCTGGTTCCAGTAGCTTATATAGAGCATAAAGAGTTAAAGCAAGATTCCATTAAAGATAAAAATAGGACAGACTATAATATAAAAAGAGTTTATATAGTAAAAAAAAAAAAGCATAATAAAAGAAATGTCACTTGTATATAAAAATATCTGCACTGTAGACAGCTCATGGAAGACTACATAGTAGCTGACTTGGATTATGCACTTGCTGAAAGAAGTCAAAACTCCACAGTAGTTTGCATGTGTTATTGCACAGGGAGATAGAAGAATATTGCACATGAGAGGCAATAGGTAATGATTTGCATAAGATGTCCACAGAGAGGGGTGCTGACCCTTGTCCCTCTTCCTATCACCTCCTCCTATCCAGTTTGGGTATTTTATATTTCAGTGTTTCAACTAGTTCTTCATCTAATGATTATATAGCAAATCGATTAATCTGTCGATTATTTTTTCGATTAATAATCAGATAGCCAAAGGTTTCTTTTGCAAAATTAAACCAAGTGAAACAAAAATTGAGTTTTTTAATCTTAAATGGAAAATGTTCTTTTACAATTTTGATATAACTGTTGCTCTAAGTGGGTCGCTCTGTCAGCTAAAGGCATGTTTTACAATCTCTATGCTCCATTTAACAATTAATCGTTTACTTAATTAGTTAATGATTATTTCCCATAATGGATTAATTACGATTAATCTGATTTATTGTATGAGGTCTAGTGTCAACATTCTTCCCTCCCGTTATAGAGATAGATTCATATATTGGCTGTCTAATATTTTTGACTGGTATTTATGCATGTGTGTTTTTCTTATTTCTTGTATTGGCATCCGCCAATACGTGCATTCAAAAAGTCATGCCTCCGATGCTATTCTTAGACTTAGACTACGTTTATTGTCATTTTGACATTTCCATTACTTAAAATGCAGCAGTGATCAAATGTAAACAATTTGGGAGAAAAAGACATGGTGCAAAAACACATTAATATGGAAGTTCAGAGCATTAATTATATGGTATATTATATGCAGTGTTTTGGTTTGCTGTGGTTTCAGTGTGATGCGAAGTCTGTCACATGATTTAGAGTTTCCTCAACAGTTCAGCTTCTCATTTTTAATGTTTGTCTTAATGTATTAAGAGGGTTCTTGTTGTTTAAATTGAAACTTAAGTAACATCTGTTATGATTGTGTCTCTTATTTCCTGCAAAAGGAGGAAAAAAATCATTATCAGCTTAAAAAATAAAATAAAAATCAGCCTAAAAAATTGTCAGCACATACCAGGGATCGGTTGGACTGATGTCAGAATAATCAGTCGAGCTTTAGTTTTTAATGCATTTCCATTTACTTTTCATACAGCAGATTTAATCGCATGCTATCACTAAACTGCTCTAAAGCTCCATCATGCTTTTAATAATCTTTATGACTAGCAGATGCAGATATTCATAATGCAGTGAGCTGTTTTCCATACTCGCCACTGAACTTTGCATCCAATTGTCCCGATTTCAATAGTTTATACCTAAAGTCCAATTAGATATTATTAATAAATGCAAAAGTGAGGCTGTAGTATGTCTCTCTTGTGACAAATTGACTCCTCTAATTCCAGGTCCTCCAACTCCTCCTGCTCGCAGTGGGCATCGCTGTGTGGCTGACAACACTAACCTGTATGTGTTCGGGGGTTACAACCCCGACTATGATGAGTCAGGAGGCTCAGAAAATGAAGACTATCCTCTATTCAGGGAGCTTTGGCGGTACCATTTTGCTACTGGCTGCTGGCAGCAAATTCGAACGGAGGGGTACATGCCGACTGAGTTGGCATCTATGTCAGGTGAAACATCTGTATATGTTTCCCGCTTTTTAGATTTCTATACCTTTTATTTACAGTAAGTGATGATTTTTCGTGTGTTGTGCTGTTTCCCTCCAGCTGTTTTGCACGGTAACAACCTTCTGGTGTTCGGAGGCACAGGGATCCCCTTTGGGGAAAATAATGGCAATGACGTTCACGTCTGTAATGTGAAGTACAAGCGATGGTCACTGCTCAACTGTCGAGGGAAGAAGCCAAACCGAATATACGGACAGGTAGCTGAAGAATTCAATTCCTTTTTTTTTTACTTTGCAAGTTAAGACATTTTTTTTAAATCTCTCTCAGTATTTCCTGCTTTGCCTCAACTTTCAGCCTCTGTAGCAGGATTCTCATTCAGATTACCCCTTTTCAGGCAATGGTCATTATAAATGGGTTCCTATATGTTTTTGGTGGAACGACGGGCTACATCTACAGCACAGACCTGCACAGACTGGACCTGACCACCAGGGAATGGATCCACCTCAAACCCAACAACCCGCCTGACGACCTGCCTGAAGAAAGGTCCAGTGTTGCAAATAACAAAAGGATTACTGTAGTTAATTTGTTGAGGATATATTTGTATATTATTTTTTCTGCCTCAAATCTGTTTGAGTTGACTTCCTATCAATGTGTGTCACAGATACAGACATGAAATAGCACACGATGGACAGAGGATCTATATTCTGGGAGGTGGAACTTCCTGGACATCATATCCTCTGGACAGGGTACTGCTCTGCTACGTCATTAAAGTCAATATCAAAATATCACATTTTGGTTAATGTTTTGTGTTTCCATTTTATAGATGCATGCTTACAATCTGGAGACAAACTCTTGGGAGGAAATCACAACGAAACCTCATGAGAAAATAGGTCTGTATGATGTCCATAATTCATCCTGCTTTTTTCTAATTAGTGCTTTGGAAAGTAAACTATATTTTTCCAAAATGGCTGCTTCAAATGATTAATGCTCCATTCTGTGGGTTAAAAAGTGACAAATCATCAAAAAAAAAAAATGCAACAGGGAGTTAATACTTACAAGACACTCAATAGAACATCTTAATAAATGTAGAACCGTCCCTCTTTTGACAGGATACCCCGCTCCTCGACGATGCCATAGCTGTGTACAAATACGTAATGGTGAGACTGATCATAACTAAGAAATATCTGCCTGCTTTTTATTAGCTTCCAGACTAATCTATCACTGTGTGAATTTTTCCCCCGCTGCTCTAGATGTGTTTATCTGCGGAGGCTACAATGGGGAGCTGATACTAGCTGATCTGTGGAAGCTAAACCTGCAAACTTTCCAGTGGAGCAAACTACCAGCAGAGATGCCTGAGCCAGCATACTTTCACTGTGCTGCTGTCACTCCAGTTAGTATCCTCTCTGTTTTTAGTTGCTCATGTAACACATGCATCCTTTACTCTCGTATGTTGGAGCGCTCAAAAAAAAAACTTGATGGGTTTCCTAATATGAGGGCAATTTAGATAAATATCGAATAATAGTTCATAATGACAGAATAATATTTGGATAAAATAAATAGTTTCAGTCTAAAGGTGTCACACATTCTTATGGGTAGGAATGTTCTCTTAATATTTAACTTTTAATAATTTATCTAAACCTTTCTGAGGTAGACTGAGGGAACTTTGAGCAAAAACCAGGTAGACACCTGATCATTTATTGTGGGTTTTCTCCCATTGACTCAGACCTCAGTCACACATTAGTGCTCCAACATACTTAGATTAATTGGATAAATGCACTTAGGAAATTACAGAGAAACAATACACTTCAATTCACAACGTCCTGGCAAAAACCAAAGGAGACATAATTCATTAAATAGTTTCATAATATAAAGCCCACTTGAACGAGGAGGCAATAAATTGATCAAATAGATAGAAAAATATCTATAATTATCAAAAATGTTATCTTTCCTTTCTAGGTAATACAATATCATCTAGAACTAACTGATTAGAAGTGGTTATACGTTTTTTTTTACATACATTTGTGTGATTGTTGTGCAGCTGAACCAGCCAAAGTTAGGATTTATGCGATGCATTGTGATCTTCAGTTCATGTTTTTAATTGAGCCTTTGATAGAACTTATGCATTTTTGACCAAAGAATCTTCCCCTAGAAGCTGTTAGCTGGTGAATGAGGTGAAGCTCCGGTTTATGTCGATCCATAAAGTACAGCTTTTGTCGTTCTTTTCAGGCTGGCTGCATGTACATTCACGGGGGTGTGGTGAACATCCACGAGAACAAGAGAACGGGCTCTCTGTTCAAGATCTGGCTGACTGTGCCCAGCCTGCTGGAGCTGTGCTGGGAGAAGCTTCTCAAGGCCTTCCCCCATCTGACTTCTCTTCCCACCTTTCACCTGTATAACCTGGGCCTGACGGAGGAGCTCGTAGAACGCATGAAATAGGCAGAAACGAGAAAAAAAAACTCCCAGCAGGACACTGGATGATGCCTGATGTAGCCCTGCCTTAAAACCAAAAACATTGGGATGCCTTTTTTATGTCCACTTCTTTTCTTCTTTTTTTTTTTTTCTAGATATGGCATTGAGCGTAAATATTTTTGGGATATATTTTATGAATTTTACTTGAATCCCTGCGCCATCACTGCATCGTTCTAGCGTTTGGATTCTGGGCGTCATCTTTCAAACTGACATATTGCAAAAAAGAAAAATACCACGTGAAAAAAGAATTTTACTCTAATTTCTCCAAAATTGCTACAGATATTTTATAAACGCAGAGCAAGAATATTAATGGATGTATATTTATTTCAAGGACTTTGCTGGTGTCTTTCCCTTCATCATGAACTGATGTTGCCATTTGCACATTTGTCCCATGGTGTTATTTGTCTTATTTAATTGACTCTTCACACATCAGCAGCCGTTTATTTTAGTCTAAAGATGAAATGCATTGGTTTGGCTATTTAGCAAAGTTCCATTGATACCATCTTGTTTTTGTCCTCTCACCAGAGGGAACGTTCTTTGCTGAGAGTTGTCAAATAGAGTAACAGTCGTGCATTTTGGCCTCCAAGTTTGCAAAAGATGGCCAAATAAGGAAACCTTTTCTCCTGCCTTGGAAATGTCTTAGATTTATGGTTAATTGCCTAAAACCTGTGGAGACAATGGGTATTCTGCATCGCCAAGACCATTTACAACTTGATTTGTCCATGTCTTTTTATTTTTATAGCCTAATCATCATGAAACAAAGTTAAGGTTAATTCCAAAAAGCATCACTTTCTAGATTTAATTGTAAAAATCACTACATGTCACTGTGAATTGGGTGCTCTATGCTTTTAGTTCAATGAATGATACTTTTACTTCCTGTTAAGTATAATGGCTTTGCACTGGGATCTGCTTCAGTAGCACATTTGTTTATCCTGCAGTGCCTTCTCCAAAGACATATTCCATAGATGTAAGATTTCTGCATGAGCCCCTTTTAAATATTCCAGTTCATGCAATGTTTCATTTTAAAAACGTGTCCCTTTCCACTAACTAAATCCGCTCCAACATGCTGTACTAAAAGAATTGAGACATTTTTTTTTTAAAGGTTTATTCAAATGATGCCAAATATCTTTTGTCATCTTTAATTTTTGTTTGACCCGTGCCAGTGCATGAATTCTGCACTTATTTTAATTTCTACCCTGTGTTCCCAGATTCTTTAATGCATGGTGCATGTACCTGCTTTTTAAATTATCTTTACTTGTAAAGATGAAATTGAAGGTTCACTAATATGTTGTACAGTCAAATTTTATGAACATTGTCAGTTGTGAATAAAAGTATTGTCTAAATAGTTTGGTTCTCGATGTCAATGGCTTGTTTAGCATGATTAACAGTAACCTTACAATCTATGTTCTCCCCTGGTTTAAAAGGTATAGTGGAGGATTTTTGAAAAAACCTAGCCTCTCCACTTAAAAGATGCACATGCACAACCTTGTACCAGCTCCTAAGAGGGAACGCCTATTAAACGTGCGTGAGAGCATCCACAAGCCCATTTCTCCTCGTGCATGATGTTTAAAGTTGCTGTTTGCATTGTTCATACAAACTTACTTTCCAAAAGAAGATGTGCAACTTTTCCACTATGTCAGACTCACCACCGGATAGTTAATATGGGGACGAGCACATAGGGCAGCCTTACGTAACCATATCACCAGAATGATTGACAATTAGGATGACTTATTTTGATGATCCACCCAGAAAAAGAAAATCCTCCACTATAGCTTTAAGATATATGGAAACATTCTAAAATTCAGCAGTTTATCACTGTAGCATAACAGACTTGTTTTCATCTTCGTCTCTATGCGACTTCAGATCTGAGTACTTTTTCCTGCGATCATTTAACCCATGAATGTCTGTACAGTTCTGCCTTACATTTAAAATATACTGCCAATCATTAAATAACAAAACATTTAACACAAAAATAGAAGTACCTCAATCCTTACACCTTCAAAATTTGAGATAACCAAAATACTTTACATTGCAGAAAGCCAAATAATTTCACTAAAAGCATGCAAGTAAAAAAATATAGAATTCCCAGACCGATTTATTCAGAAATTTATTATTTTATCAGCTTTTCAAAAATGTACATTCATATTCAACATTCAAAAAAAACACAAATGCAAAAACAAAAGAAATAGAACTTTTTTCAGCAGATTTAATCATAGAGCATCATAGTAGAAGCTTAAAGGACATTTCCAAAACTTGGATCATTTGTCCATCTTTTGTTCCTCTGAAACTAAACCAGCTGGACTCTGGTGACTTTTGCTATAAAACTTGAACAGATGCATCATTTTCTTTCCAAAGAGATTAACAGGAGCGTGGAGAAGGAGCGAAGAAATAAACCGCTAGAACGATGAAGTAAACCACTACTAGGGCTGTACCTGCAAAAAAATAAAATAAAATTGAAGAGGAATATAAATGAAAGTTGTCTGCTCGTTAAAATATGCATTTTAGTTCGATATTCTACATGTGTATCTGTTGAGTCTTGCAAACTAGAAGCATCAGTTTGTAAAACAAGGAACCTACCCTGAAAGTAGTCACATTTTCCATCCATGAAGATGTAGTTTACCAGAACAACGCTAAAGATGCTGGCCCAAAGATGAATATCACTGAATACAAGCACAAATCCCACATCCTGGGTGCAAAGAAAATAAATTCTGAATGAATATTAAACCAATCTCAGGCTAGGCAGTTTGTCACAGACATTGCATGCCTGTATTAAACCCAGCAGAAAAAAAGGCTTAGTTTATGATTTAACAGTAAGCCAATCCTGGTAGCACAAAATGGACATGAAGTCTTGTAAAAAAATCAATAAATAAAAATTAAACAACAAACACTAACCTGTAAAATCTAACTTTTATACAGTTTACTTATAGAGTCAAATGTGGCTTTTATTTGTCAATCACATTTTCAGTGAGAGATTAGCCTACTGCAATAAAAAGTGAATATATTCTTTTCATTTTTTACAAAACGGTGACGAATGTTGAAAGCTCAAAATGAACAAAAGTTAAAGCTTACTTACATAGAATGCATTAAACAGGACAAGAAGCGGAATCTGAATCATGCAAACCTGCACAGCAATGCAACTGCCTACTTCGAGGCTGCAAAGAAGAACATTTGCACATTTTATAAACGGATTACTCATATTCAAATTTCTAAAATGTATAGATATTATATAAAGACAACAGCTATAACAATCTAACCTTAAGCTGATGTTGTTCTGGAGTGCAAACTGGATGCCATTGACAATCTCTGGAAGCTCTGGTACCATTGCCAAGACGGTGACGCCAATGAAGTACTGCAGGGAAACAAAGTGCAGCTCAGTTCAACTAGAGAAGCTCTAGTTGAATCATTTGAACCAGATTATTGCCTAGTTTACAGCTTCAGACATGGTGTGTCTTAACTACCTGGGAGATGGAGGAATGACTCAGTATGGGCTCTATGTTGACAGTGCAAAGGTCTGCACAGCTAGCCATGAGAACTGTGGCAACAATCAGCACAGCGAGAGCCCTCCATCTGGACCAGTGCACAACATGATGACCTGATGCCAACAGAGGTCGTATCAACTCACAAAAACTCATAACATGTGTATTTCTTTGAAATAATTGTCTACCATCCTTAAACATTTTAAATAGCCCTCAAATATTGATAGTCAACAAAGCAGTCATTTAGCAGGAAACAGGGTTTTTCCTGTTTTCAACATAAATATCTTGGAAATCAGAAATGGTTTGAAAACAATTCAGATATGATTTCTTAATCTAAAGTAGTTAATGCGTTAAATCCTAAAGCCCACAATAGAAACTCCAACAAGGCTCCATGAAATGTTTTGGTTACATTCTATTAATGAAAGTAAATCTACATGCAGATGATGCATTTCAATTCCTACTTTTTAGCATAAAAAAAAAACGTGAGGAACACAAAAATGTAAAATTCAAAACAATAATAAAATATTTCTAGTAAAACATTCGTGGCAGCACTTTTACTTAAAATGAATTTGACCAGTTTCGAGTAGAAGATTGATAACTTCATTACAGCTCTCTACTCACTCTTGGTTCACAGTTTCAGCATGCATGACTACCTTCACAAACTGTTAAGATAGTCACATGCAGATTGTAGTTACTCCGACAGGTAACATGCAAAAAGATTTGAATTTTTCATGCAAAGAACCACATGCACCCCACACACCTTTCAGATTGTGGCTAGGTGCAATAACGCAGGCATTAATACACATGTTGGTAGGAACCAGACGGGCTGCTGTGACCTCACCAGTGGGATTGTTGGTGATGGTACTTTGCCGTGCATACTGACCGTGCGGTTGGCCCCCATGACCATCACTGACATGGATATCATAAATGTGGGCATGGGTTTTTAATGTGAAAATGAGCCCGATCAGATACGATGCAGGCAGCAGGACAGAAATGGTGTATACCAGAGGCCTAGAAAACAATAATTCCTTCATGAATCCATACACAAGTGGAAAAAATAAAGGAAATGTGTATGTAATCCTGTTTGTAGCATCTGGACTTACTCAATATGGGACAGAATCAAATGTGGGTCAGCTGTGCTCTGTTGCGAACAATAACAATGTTAGATCATTAGATACATTTATATACCAATTCAAACTTTGTGAAGTCAAATAAAAGTATTACTATAAAATATTTGACTTGTGCTGAAAAAAAAAAAAAAAAAAAAAAAAAAGCTGCCTACCGTGTCATAGTGGCAGTCATTGCAGATGAATGGTACAGTAGCATTGCCCGGGGTACTGGAGCAGCTTTCACACACCAGATTACCAAAGGTCTTTGAGAAGAGGGTGGGTGCAAACACACCTACAGAAAATAAAGCATATAAACATTGTTAGGATGGATATAGACTGGGAAGTGTGTTTTGGAATAACTCATTAAGACACAATCCTTACCTCCAATGGATATAAAGAGCAAAGCCGAACTCACTCCAGCTGAGCGACTGTTAAATTTCTGTTCACTGTGTTTGATGCCCCCAATAGTCATACAGATACCCTGCAAAAATTAAAGTTATGACACTTCAATACAATGTAAAGTAATCCCTGTAATGCTTTTGCATAACAGTGGACATGTGCTGTCCTCTAAATATAACACAGCCATTAAATTAAAGTCAACTGAGGATATGATAAAAAGATATCTGCTCTGCATAAAGATGGCTTAGGTTGTGCAAACTGAGGAAGTCCATACAGATAAGTAAAATCAAAATAAAGCCCATACAGCAGTTTAACAGCACAGCTTCCACTCACAACAGGCCTTTTTGACCAAAGAAGCCGAGTTGACATGGTGAGCTTGTCAAGGCTCTGACAAAATGCCGCACACTGTATTAAGTTAGTCTGCAAAGCTGTCCTACCAGGAGAAAGCCTATCCTAAGGATTATATAATTGAAAAAAAAAATTTAGTTGTTAAATGTACTATATAAATAAAGTTTGTTTGATATACAAGAAGGTTTAACAATTAGGTTTAAACCTTTTTTCCATAAACAGTATGCTGAAAAACAAGCCAATTAAGATTAAGTAACCAAATCCTGTGGTTTAGCAAGAACATTTTTACTTGGCGACTGCAACATTTCCTCTCCAACAGCCATCATTTGTAAAATACTTTAGATCCTCAAATTTCTCTCAATGACACTTACTGGTATGAACAGAATGCAGCCAATGAGAGTCCCAGCCAGTGCCGATTTGACAATCTCCTCATAACATTTAGTGGCGGCGCGGTGCCCTCGAAGCAGCGCTGTGATGTAGAAGGTCATCTCTGTGATGGAACCAAATGTTGCATTGACCACTGCTCCCACTGCGAAGTTACTCTGTGCAGAAATGCTGAACATACAAAATCACACTGAAACTATTAAAAATGCAGAATGCAACTCTTTTGCAAAATACATTCATACAGTTTGAACTTTAACAGGCCTTTAAGTTTTTTAGTAAGTTATCTTAAAATCAAAAAGCATCTAAGCCCATAATGGAAAGATATATGCCGTGTTAAAAAGATAGACCTAAAAAAATTAAAATAATTTAAATAATATTTTTGAAAGAAAGCGGTTAAAAATCTAAATCAGTTTTTTTGCCTCATTTCTTTGAAAAGAAACAAAATGATATTTTACCTTGCTATTCCCATGCCAATATAGTAGGACAGGGGAATGATGGAAGTGATGGCTATTGTAAACATCGTCTCTGCACTGAAGTATTTATGCTCTCGGTCAGTGTAGCCAATAATTAAACTCATAAATACCAGAGGTAACAGGTCTGCAGGAGGAAATTAAGGAGGAAAAAAACAGGTGAATCCAAAAACGTGTAGGTTTTTACATGTTCTGAAATGCTGTTTAATTATAAATGGTTCACACATCCATGATGTGTTAAAAAGGATACTGAGAGCAAAAATGTTTATCCCCTGGACAGTGTATTTGTAGTAATACACATTAAAGGCCTGGTAACAGTATAAGACGACTCTGGTCTCGCACACATTTGTCTGCAGGATACGAAAAAAAAAAAAAACATTAAATGGTTAAGAAAATGACAAACATGACAAAGTTTTGCGCTTCAGTTTGTATGGAGTCAGCTTGCACTCTTGCTATGAAAAGTGATAAGATTAAAATGTACATAGCAAAAGGAATTCAAGTTATTCAAAATTATCAATTTAATTCTAACAAAAAATAAAATAAAAGATTCCTCCAGGCATCATTTCAACTGGCTTATGGTTTGCTTAAAGAAAGTGTTGACAAGGACAAAGCCTTGGGGAAAATAGCTACAGATGCTGTAATTATGTCTCTTTACCCAAACTGATTCACAGAAAAAAGATATTGTGACTTAACAGTTTGAATCCACATAAACATCCATCAGGAAAAAGGTCCTTAATGATGCAGAAAGTGGAACATCTAAAAACCATTTATATGTTGAATTTTTTCACTTTCTAGGCAGATTTACATTAATCCAATAACTCTAATATGTACAAAAAGATAAGAAACTTTGCCAATACCTCCCTTGCTAATAGAACTAGCTGTAATTTGATGAAGAACAGTGATAGGCAATTTGTTCAGGGATCAAACATAACTTAATCCTATGTAGTGACCTACTCACACTTTTGCACAGAAGTGATGCTTTTTTGATTTTCTAACTTTATTATTGACCCTTATTCGCAAATACAAAATAATGACAAACAATATAAAAGAAAGGTTTTGTTTTTTAAAACAAAATCCATCCGTCTCAAAACCTATGACTAAATACAAGGTACATAATTAGTTAAAAGTTAACTGTTTTGGTGTAATTTATGTTCAATATCAATTTAATGAGTTTAGGAAACCTTATCAAGAGCATGGATCTCAATGTCCTCCGGTGCCATGAGGAGAACTGTGGTCAGGATGCGGCTGTTCATTTTTGCAACAGGGATGGAAAAGACTGGAAGCCAGGACAGAATGCATGCCAGGGAATGGACCACTGCCAGAAGCGGGTAACCCAGCAACAACCAGAGAAAAGTGCTGAGGCGACACTGCAGAAATGCATCAGAGATTGATTTAGTCAGAAAATCTTGGGAAATTATTCAATCAGTTTGGAAACTCTTACCCAGTGCGTTGAGGTTTTCCGTGGAGAAAGAGGTGGAACAGGAATCTCAACAGGGAGGGGGGAGGACACCAGGAGTGGAGCACAGTCCTTGGCTCCAGCTAGATCCTTATCATCTTGCTCTTGTGGAATAATCTCACAGTTTGTTGGCTTCACCGCAGATATATTGACTAAATTACAAGCCTAAAATTTTAAGGGATCAGTCATATAATGAATAGCTCATTATAAAGTGTATTGAGATTTAAAAATATTTTTTTTTTAAATAAAGTTACCCTCTGTATGGATTTTCCAAATGGCCAAATTATATACCAGGCCAACTTTAAACAGACTTTACCTGAAAGAAACAAAACAAATCACTCAACATGCAGAAAACAAAGTGTCTTAATGATGCTGCTTGTTCTAGAATACAAACCGTAAGGGGCCCCGAGGATTGTGAGAAACATCACAGGACAAATGAGCAGATAGATTAATGAGGTCCACCAGCCAAATAAAAACACATAAACTATATTCCCAAAGGTCACAACTGGAGCTGGAGGAATGAAAGCAGAGAAATTTCAGGAAAGTGGTTAATGTCATGTTAAAGATTCGACCACAGGGTTGTAAAATATATTGCAAATTAAACCATTGTAGCATCCCCACCGTTTACATTGTGCATTTTTTCAGAAATGCCAAGACAGCAATAAATGCAAAGGAATCATTAAAATAACCAGTGTCCAGGCTCTCCTTTAAACCCAATTAGTTGACATTTAGTGTAGTATAGTTTTAGAGGGTAAAGAGATGATATGGGGTCAAGGTTTTTAAACATTAGCTAAACTATCATATTGCCAAAACAGTAGAACTCAGCCAGAAGCAACTTTTACAGTAATCCATCTTGTTAATGTGGTTATAATGAACAAAGTCTCTTAATAGTCTCTCCTGAAGCTGATGACTCTGCATCTAGGACCTAGAACCTTTGAACCTGATTCACAAAGGCCCCTTTTAAAATACAGGTGCTGGTCATAAAATTAGAATATCATGAAAAAGTAGATTGATTTCAGTAATTCCATTTAAAAAGTGAAACTTGTATATTATATTCATACATTACATACAAACTCATATATTTCAGATGTTTATTTTGTTTAATTTTGATGATTACAAATGACAACAAATGAAAATCTCAAATTCATCATATCAGAAAATTAGAATATTGTGAAAAGGTTCAAAATTGATGGCCCCTGGTGCCACACTCTAATCAGCTAATTAACTCAAACCACCTGCAAAAGCCTTTAAATGGTCTTTCAGTCTAGTTCTATAGGCTACACAATCATGGGGAAAACTGCTGACTTTATCAGTTGTCCAAAAGACGACCATCGACACCTTGCACAAGGAGGGCAAGACACAAAAGGTCATCGCTAAAGAGGCTGGCTGTTCACAGAGCTCAGTGTCCAAGCACATTAATAGAGAGGCGAAGGGAAGGAAAAGATGTGGTCGAAAAAAGTGTACAAGCAAGAGAGATAACCGCACCCTGGAGAGGATTGTGAAACAAAACCCATTCAAAAATGTGGGGGAGATTCACAAAGAGTGGACTGCAGCTGGAGTGAGTGCTTCAAGAACCACCACACACAGACGTATGAAAGACATGGGTTTCTGCTGTCGCATTCCTTGTGTCAAGCCACTCTTGAACCACAGACAGCGTCAGAAGCGTCTTGCCTGGGCTAAAGAGAAACAGGACTGGACTGCTGGTGAGTGGTCCAAAGTCATGTTCTCTGATGAAAGTAAATTTTGCATTTCCTTTGGAAATCAAGGTCCCAGAGTCTGGAGGAAAAGAAGAGAGGCACTTCATCCACGTTGCTTGAAGTCCAGTGTAAAGTTTCCACAGTCAGTGATGGTTTGGGGTGCCATGTCATCTGCTGGTGTTGGTCCATTGTGTTTTCTGAGGTCCAGGGTCAACGCAGCCACATACCAGGAAGTTTTAGAGCACTTCATGCTTCCTGCAGCTGACCAACTTTTTGGAGATGCAGATTTCATTTTCCAACAGGACTTGGCACCTGCACACAGTGCCAAAGCTACCAGTACCTGGTTGAAGGACCATGGTATCCCTGTTCTTAATTGGCCAGCAAACTCTCCTGACCTTAACCCCATAGAAAATCTATGGGGTATTGTGAAGAAGAAGATGCAATACACCAGACCCAACAATTCAGAAGAGCTAAAAGCCACTATTAGAGCAACCTGGGCTATCATAACACCTGAGCAGTGCCACAGACTGATCGACTCCATGCCACGCCGCATTGCTGCAGTAATACAGGCCAAAGGAGGCCCAACAAAATACTGAGTGCTGTACATGCTCATACTTTTCATGTTCATACTTTTCAGTTGGCCAACATTTCTATAAATCCTTTGTTTTTATTGGTCTTCAGTAATATTCTAATTTTCTGATATGATGAATTTGAGATTTTCATTTGTTGTCATTTGTAATCATCAAAATTAAACAAAATGAACATCTGAAATATATGAGTTTGTATGTAATGTATGAATATAATATACAAGTTTCACTTTTTAAATGGAATTACTGAAATCAATCTACTTTTTCATGATATTCTAATTTTATGACCAGCACCTGTAATACATCCATCACTGTTATGTGGTTATCACTACACTACTACTGTAATGTGCAGCCCTATTTAATAAAAAAAAAAACAGACATAAAGGACCTTCTATGTGCTTCACAATGCTGAGATCAGTGTGCAGTTCTTTGTCAATGTCAGATCTGTCTTCAATTGGTTTCTCAGTCACATTGCCTTTCCATTTTCTGAATCCAAACTGGAAAAAGAGAAATACAGAAAGATTTATTAAAGTTGAAGAGCACTTACAGAATAAAATTGGGTAATAGCATTTTTTAAGGCAATCACAGCTCAGTCAGATCATTATTTGCAGTTTTTCTGTTAGACATGTGAAAGACCAGATTGTTTCCAGCCTAAAGGCGCTCTTTAGTATAGTTACCTCATAAATAAATTAAAGCACATGCCTTAAAGTCATGCAGATCCCCCATAGCACATCAAAGGCAATAAGGTTAATGATCGGAGAAGTTTGAATGACAAAAAGGCTTTCATTCATCCTTGTTGTATCAGGTATTCCTTTCATGAGCAAAGCTGAGAGAAACTCATGTTTTTTTTTTTTGTTTGAATGACAGAATTTAGCAGTGAAAGAGCTGATTTGATGCAGTAAACATCACCTACCCAGAGGTGTCAAACGTATTCATATTAACTCAAACAGAAGTATAAATCCTGCTGTTTGAAAATAATTATCTTAGGCTTTTTACTCAAATAAAAAGTACAGAAGTAGCATTTTTTATAACTCCTTAAAGTATAAAAGTAATCCAGAAACAATGTTAAGAAGTGATGCTTTACAGCCCTAGCCTATTAAAAGAACATGGATCTACAACTTTGGATGATAATTTCCTTAGTTTAATAACTAATAGTAACAGTGTCAAATTTAACTTGGCATAATCTTGACAATGTATTTTGGTATGTGGTTACTTGACACCTTTGCACCTACCTTGTAGTTGTTAGCCTCTCTGTGTGCTTCCACCTCATTATTAACTCTGATTGTGGTCCTCGAGGTACCATCATGCCATCCTTCCTCTCCATGCCTTGGAGGAGAGTTCCCATGTGCCCCTATATCGATAAAAAACTTGATTAAATTCCTTTCTAACAAGTAAAATATATAAAGAAAGAGACATGAAAGAAATGGGACTTTTGATAAGAGCTGGTGCAATTCTGAATATATTACCTCTTGAGACAGCAAGCAGACATTTTGGAGTGAACTGGCAGAAGTGTTGAGCAGAACCATCTGGGGAAGGTGTCGCCAGCGCACCTATGTCTGCATGATTGGGGCCAACACACAGCCTTTCAGGCAGCCGTGGGAACCGCTGGTGATGCTCAGGATCGCAACAGTTGTCTGAAAAATGATCAAGACATTGAACAGGTTTCAGAAGTGAAACGAATTATACATTTTGCACATTTTTAGATTAAGAGTTTATCTAAGAAGGCAAGATAGGTAGTTATTAAGAGCCAACTTATGAACGGTTTTCCATTTGATTCATGATTTGTTATATAACAAAGTTTTATATGTACAGTATTTTATCATAGTATGCTTTTTTACTGTCTTGTGAACTGTTTTAGAAGTTTGAACAGTCCACTAGGGCATTAATTCCACACTGGGGGTACACAGACCCCCAGTGGTCCATGAATGCATTGCAAGGGGTAAATGAAAAGAGAGAAGTTTTGTCATTTTGTAAACACAGTGTATACAAAACGAAATTTCGTTTTGTACAGCTTTCAGACAGTAAATGACCAGAAGCTTAGCAGTGAAATGAACATTTATATTTAATACAGTGCAGCAGTGCTCAAATGTAAACAGTGTGGGAGGAAAAAAAACATGGTGCAAAATTCATTGATATGGAAGTTCAGAGAATTTCAAGACACGTATATATGGTGTAAATATGCAGTATTTTGGTTTGGTGTTATCAGTGTGATGCAGAGTCTTTGACTTGATTTAAATATTATTTTTAATAGTTCAGCAGTCTGATGGCAGTGGGGAAAAAGTTGTTGCAGAATATGCTGGACTTGAATCAAATGATGCAAAGCCTCTTCCCAGAGGGCAGAAGGGAGAACAGTCCATGGTGGGGGTGTGAGGGGTCATGATGAGTTTACAAGCTCAGGACATGCTGCGCTGGGATGAAATGTCTTTAATGGAGGAGAGTGGAGCCCCAAAATAGGGCTTGAATCCGTGTTGCTTTCTGAGCACCCAATTCAAAAATTAAACAAGCTTTTATCAACAAAAAAGTTAAGTTTTTCTTATATGTTTGAGTTCACCTTCAGCTTTGTCACACATCCAAACCAAGCAGAGGAACAGACTGGTACACTAAAAAAAATAATGCAACCACTTTGGCATTAACTTAATCATATTTAGTTACTTTAACACAATTGTTTATATTCTACTAACATGAAACAATTGTGTTAAACTAACTAAATATGATTATGTAAATGCCATGAAACGGATGCATTATTTTTTTCAGACTGACTGAGCTATCAGAGCTCATCAAAGCAGCTCAGGTGTCTTGATGCAAACCAAGTTAAAGTTATTAAGTCAGTCTGACTAAAATTTTTGATCTGCAATTTGTTCCCAATTCATCAAGTTTAAATGTTACTCAGAGCACCTCCACTTTTACAGATAAAGGGTTAAAATATTATTTTGAATTTATTTTGATTCCTTTCTAACTTGCAGGCAACATACTTATGTTTTTTTAATTTAAGATGGAAAGCAATAAATGCCCAAGAATTAAATGCTCAAATTAAAAGCTTAAGTAAAATATATTTTTTTTAACTTTATAATCAGTTATTTTATGTTCCACTTTTGGACAATCAATAATTCTGACTGAACGTGTTACTCATAGGGGTACACATGTCAAAACAGGTTAGGAAACACTGCTCTAAGGACCAGGTATAAATGTTATTGTTCAATATTAACGCCTGCCTCAAATCAAATTGTAAAAAATAAAATGCATAATAAAGCAGAGCACGTGGATTGTAAAAAAACAAAAAAACAACCGTGACTTAATCACTCCTTTGTAACCTGTGTGAAACTAACAAAAACCTCATGAGAGTCATGAAGAGTCCCCCTTTTTTCTACGGTCCACCAAAACTAATCACATTATGGATGCATTACACCCCCCAGATGAAAAGTTCCTGCATCAATTTGAAATTTAAAATAAATACATGCAAGTAGGAATACAAAATATTTTGTCAATATCAACAAACGTTTGTTTTCTGGTGTAAAAAAGAAAAAAGTCCAGGAATAGGGAGCGAGTAACAAACAATTATTCATTTAATAATCAATTTATTGGAGCGTCTGCAACTTTAACAACGACTAACTTTAGACTAATTATCACATTTATTATTAATGCAAAAATATTTATTAGAAAAAAAAAAAAACAATTGTAAAAGCAAAGCCAGAGAAGTAAATTATTATTAGATTCCAAAATTGAGCTTAGTACTTTAAAGAACTGAAACTTTTAAAAACTTAACATTTAGACCCCTTAGTGGCGCAGGTGGAGTTAATTAGAACGCTAAAAAAAAAAAAAAAGAAGAACAACTTAGTAGTTTTAGTGAAAACCGACAGCTTCATTTGTAGCATTAAACCCAGGTGTGTGTATGTGTGGAGAATTGGGTAGTTTCTATCACCTGTTGATTCAGCCACAGATCTTTTCCGCAGGTTATCCACATCTCCGGACAGCAAGGAAGACGCTTTAAATGACATTTCTCTGGAGGTTTTTCCGCACTCCAATGCGCTCTGGTTGCTCCTTCTCCTCTTTATGCCTCCTGTCCTCCTGACTGGCTGCTCATTACGCACAGAGACAGAGAGGCGTGGAGTGCTTCAATCTCTGCTCTTTATTTTCTCCCATGACTGAGAAATGATGTTAATTATCTTTACTCAGGTTTATCATATGAGTTAAATTCCTATGTATTATATGTAAAGCCTAGATTATTTAGTTTTGATATTTCACTTTTTTTTATTTTTTTATTTTGCATTTAATGAAAGTCTGTGTAGCGCCCTCTAGTGGTTTAATGGAGACAGTAAAATAAAACTGCAAACTCAACTTGAGGTGCTGAATTCAACCTTACTTACTCACGAGAGGTATCTATACCTAAGTACACATTTTAGGTATATATACTTATATTCAATTCAGTTTATTTACATAGTGCCAATTCACAACACATGTCATCTCAAGACACTTCACAGTTCACCAGATCATACAGTGAAATTTATTCAAAGTTTTCTATCTAAGGAAAACCAGTTGATTGCATTGACTCGAATGCAATCCCTCACACTAAGCATGCTTGTAGCAAGAGTGGAGAGGAAAAACTCCCCCAGAAAACACACAGCCAGGCAGATGAGCTCCTGGACCAACTCCAATGTCAGAGGACGAAGAGAGCACAGCCAGTCACAGTCAGAGAAAAAGGACTAGACTGGAAAACAGGCCGATCTCCAACATCTATAAACAAAGGTTTTGATGGCAGCAGCACAGCTGATATTTCTCTCCAGGATGGTGTCACAGGCAAACAGGAACAGACGAGGCGAAGCTACTATGAGAAAAAGCCGAGAGAGCATAACATTAAAGATTGAACTAACAGATTAGAGTGGGAGTATAGAGATAGAATCAAACAAAATGGTGAAATAGGGGTCCCTATGTCCTCCAGAAGTCTAAGCCTATAGCAGCATAACTATAGAGATAGCTCAGGATAACCTGAGCCACTCTAACTATAAGCTTTATCAAAAAGGAAAATATTAAGCCTACCCTTAAAATTAAAACTGGTAGTTGGTTCCACAGGAGAGAAGCCTGATAACTAAAAGATCTGCCTCCTATTCTACTTTTAGAAATTCTAGGAACCACTAGTAAACCTGCAGATTGAGAGCGAAGTGCTCTGTTAGGAACATAAGGAACAATCAGATCTCTGATATAAGATGGACCTTGGCCATTTAAGACTTTATATGTGAGAAGGAGGGTTTTAAATTATACTCTGGATTTAACAGGAAGTCAATGAAGAGAAACCAATGAAGAGTTAATGAATACTCCATTACTTCTTTACTCCATTACTCTTTCCATTACTCTTTCTTCCTACTTCTGACTTCTACTCATTACATTTTCACACAAGTATCTGTACTTTCTACTCCTTACATTTTTAAAACAAACGTTACTCATAAGCATTCCCACTTGATGTGGGATGTGCTTATGCATTCCCACTTATTGTTTTTCACATTTTTAAAGTGTAACTTACCCCATGTAAAAATATAATCCCTCCCACAGACATATATTAGAAAATGGCACCAAAGTGGTTGATGCCAAGAGATCCTGAGGGGCAGGGGTTTTGTAATGGGTTTGGTCAGGACTAGAGAAAGTGGCAGCTAGCCTGGTTCAGCCTTATTGAAGCATGGGCAGTGAGCAGATGCATGCTGGTGGTTCCTCCGTGGGTAGTTTTTAAAGGTGGAGGAGTTTAGCGATGCCCAAAGCTGATGCTACCTAGGTGGTGGACAGGAGGACTGAGGATGTCTAAATAAAGGGGTTTGATGATGACAGTCTGAATCTGCATGTGTTGTTTGAAACTATAAGAAAATTCAACTGCAATTCCCAACCTTCATCTACTAAGGGTAGCACTAAGATGGTTTTAGTAAAATCCCTGAGGAGGTTACATTAAAAAGAAAGATATGGACAGTAACATTAAAACAGCGTACCGTACGCTCAGATCAAACAGATCAAGTGCGAGTTAAAATAGTATCTCTTAACCAACACAATCCCAAATGCCTGAAAAAGCATACATTAAAACAGCTGCTGCTCTTTAACCCTTGGAAGGGTCTAACCTCCACTATAAAACCACTGTAATGGCAGACAGTAGCCTTATTGTGGCAGTATGAGGCTGCAAATTTGAAGCCCCACATACGTCCTGCCTACAGGATGTGACCAGTTGAAAGGTCCCACCTAAATAAACACCATTACCCTGAAAAATAACTAAACTAACTAAATACTCTACTATATCAGTCCGGAATCATGTTAAAAACAAAACTAGTAATGTTGTGGTTGTCCAGACTAATTTGCATTGAAGAATCCAACCAGGCCTGTTTCTGTGGTATTACTTTTATTTCAATAAAAAACAAATCAGCATAGCTGCACAGTTAAGTGATCAAATTTAACCAGACAATGCAAATCTGTTAGCAAAATACAAAATCAGAAGTATTTACTTTTCAGAGAATAAAACAACCCTTTTTTTATTGAATATTTGAATAATTCCTGCACATGAGCTTTGCTACATTTCAGTTATTGAAATAGTAGTAGCAAGTAGCTTAAATAAATGTACATATTTGTACTAAGTACATATAAAAACAAGGTATTGTGTTAGCCATAAAACAATAGACAGTATACTTTAACCTCCTTTATCCACAGTAAACATAACTTACATACCACTTTGTTTTGGTTAAAGCAAAAAGAACAGTGGAACATTTATTTGAAATAAAAAAAACAGCCATGTCATCCCTTTTTATTCATCAGCCTTGCAGAAGATATACGCTGTATAAAGAATATAAACAGTGCCTTAATTTAAACAGGGGGACAAATGTTCTGCAGAGAAACTGCCCTTTCAAAGCATCTGTGATGCGTACAAAAATCTAGACTGAAGAGGACGAGAACGTACAGAGTCCACTTTAAGCACAATTTTTACAAAAGTTCATACATATGTTTTTTTTTCGAAATATACAAAAAAAGTGGAAACGTGAGAGAAAATCTGAGAAATTCAGCTTTACTAAATAAAAATGTTCTTCAAACAAAATACAGAGATGCGTTGTTGCACCAGGCAACAACTCAAATATAAAACAAGACTGCATATTTTACAAATAAAGGCAGAGAAACAGATTAATAACAACACAATAAGTGACAGATCAATAGTTTATCTGTAAAACTGAAGTAAACAAACCAAGTAGGAAACTTAAGAGTCTAATGCAGGCTTTACTCTTCCCCTCTGAACTTTTACTCTGCTGTTGAGTAATACATGTCAAGCTCCAATTAAGTCACTCTCTAATACTGTTGATACTAGAACTTGTGAGTTAAAACATCAGGTTAGCTTATTTTTCAGTTCCTTACAGGAAAGGCATACATTTTGTCTAAAGAAAACAGTAGCAACAGAAGTTTATTTCATACAGTAAAATCATCTTTAACTGGAACATCATGTTGCTTTTTTACCGATCAATAAAGCTGCTGCAAAGAAAATGACACACGTTTTAGGTGTAGACTGGCTACAGGTATAAAGATATGTAAAAGTTTTAACAGTTAATTGAAATTTTAATTTAATTTTAAAGAAAGTGATTTGTAAAGCACAGAGGAAATTTCCAATTCCAAGAGTCATTATTTAACCAGCTGTCTGTAAGCAGGCTTCCATACATTTCTATTATATGTTAGGAGTGTTGATCTAGTGGGTTAGAGCAATGCACTTGTGCTCTGAGAAGGTTGCAAGTCCCCCATTTGATCCCTGCAGCCTCCACTTTGGGCTCTAGATAAAAAAAAAATAAAAAAATCAATTGCTGGGAGCATGGGTGGTTCTAGACAGGGGCCAACGGGGGCCAGTGCCCCTGTAGATCATGTCCTGGCCCCTGTACTGAAGACATAATACTCAAAGAAATTCTAATGATGACATACGCTGGAACAGACATGGTTACTGATAAGTTCTTTGGATCCATTTAATTTATTTTTTCTTTATAAATTCTGTTTTACTAATAATTTAAAAACAATAATGTGATTCAGTGGGATTGAGATAGGAATCCCATTTTTCATCTGCTAAATGTTTTTCTTTTTTCAACAAAATACTTTTTTCTAATTCAGATTTTATAGAAAACAGTTACTTTAACTAAAATTAAGTCGAAAATATGTAAAATTCCTAAATTCTGAATGTATATTGGCCAAATAAGACATAGACTTTTAATCAAACCTAATTAAACAGAAATTTTACCTTATGCAGCTATCTAAATATATTGGAATCCCTAACCCTGTTTTTTATTTCATGCTTTTCTGTGCCCCCATGAAAACAATGCTGGCCCCCTCCTGGCCCCCTGGTACACTTGATCTAGAACTGCCACTGGTTGGGAGAACAGAGGAAATTTGGCCGGTTCAAAACTGTGGTGGACTGATTGGTGCATCTCTATAACTAACATAGTAGTTTAGAACTAGCCAGCTATATTAGATTATTAAAGGGTAGTGTCAATAATAGTATTTACTGTTTAAAATAAAAGCATTTAGCAATATTATACATATTTGTGCTGTTTTGTCAAAATGCCATAAAGAATTTTAGACTGAATGTAATCACACTGAGAACGTTTTACCAGCCCATGCTTACAAGACATGGACAGTTTAGCTGCCTGATCTGTTTTATTACACATATGCAATAGAACACAGGGTATATTGTACAGAATGTAATATAAAAACTAATCTTTTCTAAATATATTTACAGATTATTTTTCTCTTTTGTGTCTCCATACGTCTCTTGCACACATACACTCATACAACGTAAATAACAGACTTAAAACTGACCACACATTTAAGACCCTGGTGTTGTTAGGTCTGGTGGAGTTCAGAGGAATGTTTTTAGGTTACCCCCAGTTATTGGTGTTCTTGCTGTTTTAAAAATCAGAGTCAGCATCCATAAGCTCTGCTTCCATTAAATTGGTCCTGGAGTGGATGGGTCCATAGCCAGCCCTGCGGCCCGCTGGTACCCGTGCCACATGAGCCATTCTCTCTGACAGCCCGCCAGGATGATCCATCCCTCCTGGGAACATTGATGATCCACCAGGCTGCCGGTTTGAAGTCAAAGGGGTACAGCGTGGCCTAAGACCCAGGTTTTCCGGACAATCAACCTGAGTCATCAGATAACTATTTTTACTGCTCTGACACTGCAGGTAAGGACACCTCTCCTCATAAGGTTCAAAATCTGGTAAAGAGCCTGGCAGATTCTCCTGCTCCAACGTCAGCTCCCTCTGCTGTTCACGCAGATTGGCCACCAGGCTTGGGTGACAGGGAAGTTTAGGCAGTCGGGGAACTGCGCTGCGGCCAAACTCTCGCTGAAGGCAAGTTTGGTTTTCCACCACCTCTTCCGGCTTTCGCACCTCCTTCCTTCTTTTCTTCTTCTTCTTTTTCCTCTTTATCATCTCAGGTGATATCTCTGCCTCCACCATCCACAACTTGTTCTTCGCCTCTGGAGGGGGCACTGTTTGAAAAGATGGAGAAAAAAGGGATTAAATAAGCCAAACATTAAATGAAGCCAAACATGAGCAACTTTCCAAAAGGGAACTTCGTCACAATGTGCCATGTGTTTATTACAAAGTTCAATGACTTGTTTTTTTGTCCAGTTGTTTTTGTGATCTACAAACTCAAAGTAATGCATACATGTGAAGAGGTTATTGTGAATTAAATGTCCCACCAACTTTTCCTTCCACTTAACATGCTATGCTAACATAAACCAAAAAAATACAGTGAATTTTGTGCTTAAAAGGTAACTCAACTCAACTCAAACTTTCTTTATAAAGCACATTTAAAACAACCGCGGTTGACCAAAGTGCTGTACAGGAATCACAGTTAAGGAACATAAGATAAAAACTGAAGGCAAAAATACATAAACACATAAAAATAGAATAGGATAAATGTTTCAATTAAAATACATTTTAAAATAAAATAAAATCTAAAATAAAATTTTGCCAAATGTCCACTTAGACATGATTAAAAGCCAGGGAGAGGAAATGTGATTTTAAAGAGGATTTAAAAAACCTCAAAGGAGTAAGTAAAACCACATATATTCGTCAAAGAGTATAAATACTCTTGCAGGGAAAAGTCTGCATTAAAATTTGAAATCAAATATCAGAATAGGCAAGTTTCTGTGCAAAAGCTGCAGCAGACCCAGAACTCACCTGGTGTCCCAGTGGGAGTGACAGAAATGTCCTGAGGCAGTATGGCTCCACGTCTAGCGACCATCTTGGTCACGTGTAACGCCCATGCTGATGAAACATCATTGGATGGCTCGTTCAGCTCAAAATTAATTCCAGCTATGAAACAAGGAATCACAGAGTCTCAACATGGAATCATTGCATAAGCGCAAGACAATTAAAAGAAGCCTAATAACACAAAATATTTTTTCCCTGTGACATTTGACTTTATTACACAATTTCATTTATGGTTTGATTTCTTTGTATGTGTGGATTGCATTGTTAGCGACATCTGGTGAAAATGCCATGTCAGTATTACCTTTAGAAATATATTTACTGAGGAAAAATGGTGGCATGTTCAATACTTATTCCTCCAAATGTATATATGACATAGTGATCATGCAAAACTGAGTCTTTCTTTATTTTAGTTACATGATTCTAGTTGGTGCAGCCATTTTAAATTTGAATAAATTGAATAAATAACTAAGTTCTGTCCATATTCTCATGTGGAGTATGACCACCTGAAGACCAACACAGTAGTGGTTATTGATCAAAAGATGGAGCGTTAAAAGGGAAAATGTATTTCCATAGGATTATCACATACGTACCCACTGGGCCATCGTGTGACATGGTGTGCATGCTGAAGGAAAGCTCCTTCTCCGGGTCCTTGTGAAGCTCCTTTCTCATTGCAAACGCCTTAGCAATCATTTTGCTCTTCTTGATCCTTTTGGGTTCATTGTCACTGCGACCGATGATCCTGGAAATGGAACAAAGAGTGAGAGCATGCAAATGATTTGCTTTGGTAGGTGTCAAAATAGTATTTTCTATTAAAAAAGGAAAGTTTAATACTTAATAGTTGCTTACTTGAACCAAGTGCGTTTCCAGATGAGAAAGGTGGCCTTAGTCCAGACCCAGGTGCTCATAGCTATTCCTGTCCCGAACATGGAAAACAGATTGATCTTCTCCACCATCAGACTGGGACGGTTTTTAATGGTGCATTCTGGGATGGGCTTATTGGTTTGAGAAGCAATTGTCACATTGGCTTCACACCTGGAAGAGACATCGAGAACATTTAGACCTGTATAGTCTGATAAAAGATGGACTTTTGCAGGAGAGGCTGTGCTTTTCGTCCTTTAAATCAGTTTCAACCCCACCTATAGTCAACATTGCAAACACTGCTTGATGGACATTAAGCAATTAGTGATTTCTGTATGAAATGCATTTATATCACTTTGCTTAATTAAGTCCAAACAAATATACTGATAAATGCAAAAGCCTGGGGTTAACATCATAATAAAAAATTAACTTTTCTACTTACAAGTTATTTAAAGTGGAAGTTAATAAAATATTTTATTTTTCTTTTGGTGTTAAGTCTTTTGGACAAAATTACAATAGAAATGGATTCATTTAATTTTGCTTTCAATTAAGGCTGAAACAATCAATCGGATTATTTGTGATTAATCAATTATTGAAATAATCAACTAATTTAGTAATCGATTACTCGAGTATAGAAACTTTAAAACATGCCTTTAGCTGACAGAGCGACCTACTTAGAGCAGCAATTAGGGAATAAATCCTTTGTTGCAATGCCAGTTGGAGAGTGGGGGCCTAGTTGTTAGGACATATAACTTGGCCCCCAAAGATTCTGAGTTCAAGCCCCACTCCTGCAGACTGCCATTCTGGTTGCCTGAGCAAGACTCTTAAATGCCACACTGCTCCCCGTATAATGCGCAGTGGCAGCCCACTGCTTCCCAAGAGGTGGGGTTAAATGCAGAGGTAAGTTTCTCCAGTGTGAAATTATAATATCAAGGTTGTGGAGAAATATATCAACATTTTGCATTTAAGATTAAAAATATATATTTATCAGTATGCTCTACCCTGAACACCGGAAATGGAAAAGTTTTAGTTTCACCTGCTTTAATTTCGTAAAGGAAACTTTGGCTATCCAATATTAGTCCTTTAATCAAAAAAATAATCAACAGATTATTCGATTTGCAAAAGAATCATAAAAAAACAGATAAATATTGAATTATAAAATAAATAAAAAAATATATAGAAACATACTGATATAATTGTTTCATATAGATATTTAATCTTTAATAACGACTAAAGCCGTTTTTTTCGTTATCGCATTGGTGAAGTATTTCGGCCCTGATGAGCAAAAATCTTTGCCCATACTGTAGACTCTCATTAAAAGTTGTACATGCGCAGTAGCTCCTCTGCAATGCAAAAGACAGGATCATCCTGGTGCGCAGCTCTCCTGCATCCATAGCTAAAAGCAACTTTATTTGCACACCACCTCCCACCTCAGAGCTGACCTCACAGTCGTCTGTCATAAAGTGCTGTTGATTGACAGGCCTGAGCTGTGGATCTCTCCAGATCGCTCTGCTCACCCTCTCATTTAATTCGCCCAATCACCTCAGTAATGTCACTGCATATCTCTATATAAGTCTATATAAAGAACTTACAGCACATATTCTCTGAAGCTTCTCTCCCATTCAGCCTGGTTGAAGAAGTCATAAAAGTGACATCCGAATGTGATGAAAACAAAGCCAAAGGCAAGGAATCCAAATATACCTAATAATAAGAAACAAAATGAATGACACAATATAAGGCAGATTATTGGGTCTTTTCCTAGTCAAGAAAAAAAATATGCATGTTATATCTATCTCTGACAATCAAAATCATTCAGCACATTTGCCAGTGTAAACAAAGCATTCCCCTGGGTCATTATATCACGTAGTGGTATTAAGATTGTTTACATTCTTTGTGCCATGTTGCCTGCTGCTTTAGACAAAACATTTGTTTCCAGAGACAGTTAGGCTCGTCTTTCAGCTCAGATTAAACTTTCAAATGTTAGGAAAAGGAACAGGACGGGCAACGGACGACATATCTCACCAAGTCTCAGCATTGTCTCATTGATTTTGCTGGCTGCTTTCTCACTCAGCAGTCCCGGGTGGTTACTCTTGATGGAAAATAAGGTCATGACACCTAGAAGAAGGATATTTTTAGAGAAAGACAAGTGCTATGAAACATGAGTTAAGAGTTTCAACTCCACCCTTTCTTAGAGATTGGTCACTACAGACGGTATTCGCTCTACTCAGCAGAGAATAAATTGTCAATACAAGTAATTAGCGCCATTTGCCAGCTGTCAGTGTGGGTTTCAACAACCTAATCTATAAAAAGTACTGTCTGAAATGTTTGTCTTCTTCAGTCTCACTTTGTAACCAGAATTTGACCTTAACTCTGTAATATCAAAGAATAGAAATATGTAGATTCAGTTTAGTTAAAAGCAACACTAATGCTTGAACTTTAAAGGTCAAACCATGTTTTTTTTAAGGGAGTGGACATTGATTAAGTCTGACAGCTGCAATTTTCATAATCTGAGATGATTAGAAAATCTATAAGTTAAACTATTATTATTATTCGTGCATTTAAGTGCTAAGGAAGGATTTCAATACATAAGCTTACCCCGGATGAGGAAGTAGCCTCCAACAACTAGCACCACTCCAATGGGCGCCAGCACAAATCCAGCCCGATAGTGGTAGTTCTTGTAGCCAACAAAGCAAATCCCGCTCACAGAGTCCCCATCCACCTTTCAATACCAAACACATAAACAAAAACTTTAAAAAAAATTTCCATAAATCGCAGAGTCTGGGATCTTAGGAAGGCTTTTTACGCACCTCAGCTAAAGCAAGGATGGCAACAGTGAGGACAAAAGGGATGGACCAGGTCACCATGTGGAAATAAGAGGTTCGTCCAGATAGCGGCTGTTGAGTTGTTCCCAAAGCCTTGAAGGAGGTGTGCCAGGCGTAGGTGAGCATGACGAACCAGATCACACCAGACATCAGGGAGTAATAGACGATGATGAAGATGGTGACACATGACAGCGTTTCTGAAGATCTACGGAGACAAAAGTGATAGAGTATTTTAATGTCCATTTCTTTTTTTTTTATGCAATCATCAGGCAATGCAGGCTTGGATCTTTCCAACTTACGAGGGCTCCCCTAGCCGCATAGTGTTGTCGCTCTTGCACACAATCTCCTTGCGTGCTCCATCCAGAAATTGGGCCAGCCAACCAATGCTGCCCACAAAGAAGCAAGCATTGATGTAGAAGAGAATGACGGCTGGGTAGCGGTTTGAATTTTTCCAGTCAGCAAGAAATGTGGCCTGTATTGACACAAGGGGAGATGATGGCTTAATGTTAAAACTTGAAAGGATATACTGTACATAAAAGTATATGAAGAAGAAACTGAAAGGAAGGTAGAACACAACATCTAAGCAAAAGAAGGCTACAAAGAGGGAAAGAAACAGGATAAAAAGGACAGAATTAAGTACACAAAGGGCACAAGGAAGGACTGACTCCAAGGTAGTGCAGAAATAAAGGACAGCATTTAGGAAATAAGGTTAGCAAAAAACCCAGAAGATACTGTATTCCAATTCTATACTTTTCCAGACTATGAAGGAAAAAAAGGACAAATTATCAGCTTCATATCTTAGTAGAGGTTGTAATGTCTCACCAAAGTAAAAAAGGTGCAGAGGAGGGTGACTGTGCCAAAGTAAGCAATGTAGGCGTGCATATCATCGTGCTCCTCTTCTGTGAACAAGGGGTTGTCACACTGGATACCACAACCTTCTACATCCTTGTACCAACTGGACTGAATGTTTGTCTTCACCAGAGGAGCTTCACACTGGCCTGAGGTGTTGAACTTCAACTTCGGCACCTGATTTTGCACAAAACATGGTGCACATTGAGAAAGGCAAATTAAACAGATCCTAAAATTTTGACCAGATATATCCTGACTCACACACTCTTACAATTCTGACCTAACTTAAGATCTTAAAAAAAAAAAAAACAGATGGAGAAAGTTCCTCCTTAATACACATAATAGAGGCATACCGAACAGCCCACTGGGAATTTGTCACATTTGAGAAAATTGGGCCATCCTCTCTCTCGATCCACGATGCTGCAAGGGCGACGTGTGGCCAAACACAGACTTTTGCTGGGCAGCTCCACTTGCCCATTGTCACATTTTGGCATGTAGATGGCACAGAGCAGTGGCTGGATTACAGACCAACAGCGTGGAGCATTTCGCAATCCTAGGAGATGAAGAGAATAACACAAAATTACCAAAAGTACAGATATACCTTATTTATGAGATTTTTGATCAATATTGGTTATTGTGGGAAGGGATATATATATCCACAGATCAAAGCCAAAAACAATTATCCTGATCCAGTTTCTTTGCTGATCGGCTTTCCAAATATCTATAAATCAAAATGTTTTTTTTAGGTTTCACACATTTTAAACCTGTGAATATTTTAACAAATGTCTCTGTGTTTCATGCAATTTATAAGCTTGAATAAAATGGGTAATGATTTAGGAAATATATGTTTTTGCCATTACTCTGTTTCTGCTCTGCTGAAGATTATTCAGATAGCTAAATCCACTAAATTAAGTCCTTAGCGTGACATCTAGGAAAGGATACCTATTTAAAACATACCTTTAAAAGTATGTTGGTACAAACTGTAGAAAATACTTAATTCCATAGGATTTAAATGTTGCCCAAATAAAAAAAAAAACAAAGTTCTTGTCCTCCCCAAAAAAAAAAGAAAACACAATGTGAACTAGAATTAATAACAGCTTGATGCCCTTAAATTATTCTTTTATTTCCTGTTTTTTTTTATCTATACATTTTAAGGTTGAAAAGAATCTTAACTTCCTTAATAACAAAGTCATTTAAATCCAATATAGCTGCATGTACTTAAAAATTTGTGATAGCAAAACTAACATATGCATTTTTATCAAAAAAAACCAGTTGCAGATCACTCCTTTTTTACACTTTTTCCATTCTGAGATAAAGAGGTAGGTAAATACAGCCTTAATCATTGACAATGGCTCCTTCAAGGAACAGAGGAGAGAGATGAGTGTGTTTTGATATGTGCTGTAGAATCTTCACTCCATTGGTTAAAAGGATGAAAGGCTTAAAAAGGTGTGAAGCCTCAAACAATTGTATGTTTAACACTCCATTTCTCTCCTCTACATCACCTTTGTGTTATCTTTGATGGCTTTTAACCCTTTCTTTCCTGCCGTTCTGCACTAAAACAGTTCTTACAGCTCACCTGAGGCCAGAATTGTTTTTATCATCTTCTTCACACAATAAAGCATCACACAATTAAAGAACATGACCAAATACTATTAAAACCTTGGTCAGTTTGTTCTGTCTTTCCATACATAATGTATTAAACTATTTTATGGTTTTTACATTTTGTTGTAATGCAATGCATTACTTCAAATAACTGTATTTGGTTGTTATTAAATGTGGTAGATATAGGATTATTAGAAGGGGTGCAGATTATGACTTAAACCCCATTTACTATGATTCCCCAAAATTACTAATTAGCCATGTTGAGAATGATCAGGTTACATTAAAATTGTACTTATTTGTAAAGAAATCAAATTATGTGGACATTCAACATTGCACTTCTACATTTACTGGAATGAAACATGGTAGTGGTAGTATGAGGCTGTAGAAATGTTTTATTAAGCAGTGCAATGGAGAATAGAAAGTTAGGATTTGACTAAGCTTGTGGACCTTTAGACAAAAACTGCAGTCCCTACGTGAGGAAAAATTATACAAAAAAACCTAGAGCTACAATTAATTTTATATGTGGTTATATAATGATTGATAAAGAGATGTGAATAAAATAAGTACCACATTTTTCAGATTTGTTTTAAAAAACAACTTTTGGTTTGTTTTGGTTCAATATCACAATCATGCACAACTAAAATCTGAATCGATCACATTATAATTTGTGATGAAAATATAATAAGTTAAGTGAGTTTTATTACTATAATGAGTGCATCTCTGATTACCTTAACTGTTTTTATTTAACTTACCAGACCACATGGTCAGCTTTTCAAAAGCCTCCTCTTGGCTACTGGAGTCCTCAGCCAGGATCAGAGATGTATGGGTGTACGGTAAAGGTGATCCCAAGCAAGTGTTGTATTTAAGCGCCTCACAAGTTGTAGTTTTCTTGCAGTTGTCTTCAAACAACGTCCCGTTCTGGGCCAGCACTGCCCTACAGCCCCACAGCCAGGCAGCCCAGATGCAAAGCATCCCAACAATGGGGCTCCAAGCCTGGGAAGACATCTTGAAAGGAGAAATGGACCTGAGGAAAATCCAACTGCTCAAAAGAACAAGGCTTTAGGAATCAAACTGTAAGCTACTGTGGTAAAACAGGAAGATTCCCATGCTGCAGGAAAACTGCAGGGCGTTCTTTTCTTCTCTACAGTTTTCTTGAAGTCCCCTCAAACTTTTTGGCTCTGCACTTTTCGTCCGTGTGCCACAGAATAGTCCTAAATGTCCACATTATTCAGCTCAATTACTCCTGAAAAAGTATCAAAAAAAAAAAAAGTTAAAGATGAATCCAGATCAAATGAAGTTTTTTGCTGGATCGCTTTAGGAAGAAAACCATAACAGAGAAAGTTGCTTCGCCCTACCCCCACTTATAGAAAAAAAAACTGGAAAAAGTCTGAATCTCTGTAATAGGATCTTCTGCTCACATGCACCACCCACTTCTTCAGTGAAAAACTAAAACTGAGAAATGATCCTTAGAACAGTGTATATGTCCCAAAAATACGTTTTTCCTCCATGTAGAGTATCTGATGGCAGAAGTCCTTCAGATTGTTTGTGCTCCTGTTGGTTGCAGCTCAGGATCTGGTAGGCTTTTTTGTCTCTGGTATGCACATGGTGGGGGAGAGCAGAGGACAAAAAAGAAAAAAAAAAAGAAAACCTCCTCTCCCATCCCCCCTCTGCTAGTGGAAGAATGTGCCTTATTGCTGGGGCCTTGCTCAGAATTACACATTTGAAGGACCCCAAAACCAATACTACACAGATTTGACAGGTTTGCTCCTTCTGAAAGAAGTTTATATAGACACGGACAATTCCCCACACCTCACTTTAATGTCTGTACTTAAACACCCCTAGAAGGAACTCAGATAGGCTTCTAACTAATGGTGGGTTTAGATACCAGTTATGTAGTTCACCATCCAGAGGACACATTAAGGTGAGGGTCGTCAGATCAATTAATCATATTGCTTATTAGTATCTCAGATGTCTGATGACAGTTTTATTGCATGATGAAAAGTTTCTGATGCTGCCTTAATTTAAAGAGTTTTTTTTAAAAGTTATTTGGGCCTCCTCTGATCATCTCTCACTCTAAAGCTAAACTTTTTTCATATGAATTTATTAGCTGATAAAATGACAAAATGAACTGGTTACACTTTTTTTTACACAATTTGTAAAGCATTTCTTTTATCAAAGCCATCTTCCACCTATGCATAAGCTGTATCACACCATATATCTTCTATATGACAAGAGTATATTCATCCACCTCTCATCTTGGGGGCCTGAAATATTTTCCCCATGCAAATAATTCCCTTGGAGCTACATACTTGAAAACAGGTAAAAATATAAGTATTTTCTACCTCTACCTCACTTATCAGAAACCACAGTAGAGTTTGATTTGTTAGAGGCAGGAGGTTTTTAGCACAAAACTTCAATAATGTATTAAACTGCGAGGTTGATTTGCTCAAATTTATAGCTTAAAATCACATAGATGTTTTAATGTGCAGCTACTTTATCAAGTAAAAACAAATGTGTTAGTGAAAGTTAACATGTGGCATTTGCACGGCTTTGGATTCCTTGTTTTTTTCCTCTCTCCTGCTTGAAATAGGATTGAATAAGATCTACCCTGTAAGCAAGAGAATGTGAGCGTATGGGCCTCCTTCAAAATCCTTCATAGCATGGCTGTCTGAGTGAGTCAGAGGCTGTAAAAAAAAAAAAAAAAAAAAACAGGACCACACACAGAGTAGAGCAGCCCAGTCCAACACACACACAGGTTGAATCATACTCGCCACAATGAGAGACACCCACAAAGACGTCACATTTTCATCAGTTTCCCCACTAAATCACAACATTTGTTTGTGCGATCTGGCTTGAGAGAAGCAAGAGTAGCAAAGCAACTGTTAACCCACAGACAAATGTCATGTTTAGATTGGAGAACTGCGTCAATTCTGTTTATGCATACAGAACTACCTTTACTTCAAAAGATTACATTTTTATTTTGTTCTGGAAAAAAAATACTGAAATGGAGACATGCAGCTTCAGTGTTCTCTGGTTTATCTTAAGCCAAATAAAAAGTCTAATGATGTTTGTAGCCAACGTTGAGATACACACTCAAATTCTTTAATCTGCTGATGTGAACAACATCAATCTTTGCTGTCAAAGCAAATAAATTTGTATTAAACACAAAGAATAACATTTCTGCTTTCCTTCTTAAACAAAGTGAAGGTCAATTAATTTATTTCACATCAGACAAACAACTAGCGGAAGAGGTAAAGGACTGTTGCATGAGATGATCAAACATGTCACCAATTATTTAGGAAGTCTGGTTTGGTAATCATCTATGCAGCATGTTAAAGCAGACTCTAAAATTCCTAAAGCAAACATGTCCACTACCTGACAAATTTTGTGAGGTAATCTTTATTCATGTATTAAAATCACATGTAAAAAACAGACAAAAAAAAAAGCCAATGTAAATCTAAATGCTGGATTTTTACAGTCAGTTTACATCAAGAGTCAGTTTTAGGGCTAAAAAATGAAATAATTAATATATTGGTTTGAAATAAAATCCCTTTAGATGTAAAAAAAAAAAAAAAAAAAAAAAAAAAACACAGTTGGACATTGGCTAGACATCAGTGATAACCAACTAGGGGAAGACAAGGCATTACAAAAAAAAGAATCCTATAGCAATACTCAAAAAGTGAAATGGATAAAAGATAGACATTAATTGATCTCATTTTAAAATAGCACAGATAATATTAAAAAAACAATTTACTTTCAAATAAATTGTTTTTAAGAGAGAGAAAGGATGGTATTAATTAGAGGGGCAACTTAACATATGCCAGAACAAAAATGAAAATTATTATTTTGAATCTGAATTAGCTTTACTCACTTCCGTTTTCCCTTTTAAACTTCTACACAAGTGCAAGAAATTTGACTTCACTCTCGTAAATACCGTATTTTTGGAGGAGTGGCAGTTGGAGGGTTTGGAGGTCATGCCATGAGGGGGACTAATGAGGGATCAATGCTAACAGGAATTGTCAGAAGTCGCTATGTGAACTGCTTCATCGATGCTTAAACTTGTGCTGTGGATTTGTAACGTCACCTCAACGGAGGGGAAGAAGCTTGAGTTTGTCAGGAGGTTGAGTGATAAAGGGTAGGGATAGTCAGGCTCACCTTCAAGCAAAGCCCTGCTTCTGGAACCTGGCTCATTAAGAGAGGCTGGGCCGTCTTCTACTCTGGAGTGGTCCACAGGGAGGGTTTGTGTGCTGGATAAAACTTCTCTTGGGGATTCCATCATTTTAGTGGGGTACTTCATTGCCAATGTGGGAAATTACAGTGATACCTGGCGGTACATGATCCAAATGAATGGGCCATTGGTTCTGATTGGTATTTAAGTATTTGACGTCTGTGCAAACCATAGACTGTCCATGATGAAAAACATGTTCATGCTTAAGCATGTTAATCAGTTCACATGGCACCCATACGTCCTAAGCCAGAGGTCGATGATAGACTGTATCCTCTGACTTTCAGCCACATCTCTTGGACACTCAGGTGAAGAAAGGGGTAGTGCTGTCCACAAAATACCACCTGGTGAGACGTTGGAACAGATGCTCTAAAGACCCAAGTGAGAAGTGACGGTGTGTTCGGACAATCTGGCAGAGGCCTCAGTCATGAAATAATTTAACTCACAACTATAAGAGAGGTTTTCTCAGACTCCTGGGGGATATGGAGTCTAAGTGGACCATGTTCTCTGCCTCTATTGCAAAAGCGGCCGCTCATAACCTTGGCTATAAAGTCTATGGTGCCTGTCATGGCTTTAACACCCACATGTATTGTTGGACACTGGCAATAAGAGATTCCGCCAAGCTGCAGGAGTCTTATCGAGCATGGTTGGCCCTTTAGGGCTCCTGATGCAATTAACAGTGCCCAGGCAGTTGTGAGGGCAAGGGAACAGACTGCGAACAGTCATATAGAGAAAGACTGTCAGAAACAACTCTGCCACACAACTTGAACCTTTTTTTTGGGGGGGGCTGCCTTGTACTGAATTGTTCTTTACCAATAAAATTGCCTTGCCTTGCAGGCTGTTGTGGTTGAAGCACTTCTGTAACATGTCGTGGTGATCGTGGACACTTTCAAAGCACTGGTGGAGTGCAAATGGTTCAATGCGCCAGCACTACACCCTCTGCAGGGTGCTTAACGATCTGCTAAAACTTACCCTAGATCCAAACAAGTCCTGGATGGAAGGAAGCTAATGATCCATTTTAACATATCTGACAACTCATTGCAATTTGGACCTATGCTCTTTTGTTGACAACCCTGAACAATTCAAATATAATGGAAAAACACAAATTTCCTCTTCAAATAGAGTTGAAATATTTAGAATATATAACAAAAGCAACAAAACTCTGATAATACAAAAGAAAACAAAATGAACAACAAAATATTGCCCCAAAGACATTGTCTAAGTGTGATTTCTGAGTTTTAATCAAATATGCTCCAAATTTAAATAACATTTTTTTGTTTTCTATTTTCATCAAAAAGTAGACCCACTGTGGCAAATGTAGGCTCCTTTACGTTCCAGAAGGTGGCGGCAAAGTAACACATTTTGAAGCTCAAGCTCTTTAGTAATGACTAATCAGTTGAGTCCTTACGAAAATCTGGTCCAGGATCAGCTCCATGGGTCAGATCTATGCCTGAGGTTGTAGTTTTGTAGTTCAATCTGGTCTTTGATCTGATTTATCAGAATCTGAGACAAAAGCATGCCCACTAGCTGCAAAAGAGAAAACAAGGGTAAACATGTATTTTTTGGTTAATTTTTCCAGGTTTTTATGCAATCATTACACAAAAATATACCTGCGGGATCGCCAGTCCCAGTGCAATGCCACCCAGTATGAACAGGTTACTGTGAATCCAGTCAACCATCTTGTCTATACAGCCATCGGTGTAAAATTTGTTTTCAGTTGGGAACTCCTTTTCTTGCATCCCCAGACCACACTGGGTGTTGGGTACCTCCTACAAACAATAAAAAATAAAATAAGATGTTTACTTTTAAAAAGGAAACAAACAGAAACAACAACAGTAACTCATCATGGGACTTTGTTTCTCAAGGAAGGACCTTTTTTTGGGAGGGGATGCAACAGGAATAGGGGACAGAGCAGCGCTCTTTGCTTGGGTTAGATGGGCTGCAATTAAAGTAAACGTTCTTGGACCAGTCAGTGTATGTTGTTCCGCCACAGCACCTAAACTGAGGAGATGAAGGGAAAGGAATGAATACAGCAATATGATGCTACTACAAGTAAAATATGAGGGAACATGGTTACATCCTACAGATTACTATATAACACATATTTGGTGATTTCAGATTTAATAACAAAAACCTCCTATTCCACAAAGATATCAGCTGAGCAGCCTAAAAAACAACATTTTTATGATTATGTTCAAATGAACAGGATTTTTCATATTCACATACAGAGAACTTTCTATGATAATGTAACTACTAAAGATTAAATTATTACTATTCTGATTTTTTTTCAAACAAAAGAACGACAACTCCTTGAAATAACGCCTGACTGAGTCCAAACCAATCTAATGAACTAGTAGCAATCAATCGATCTTTTCATTGAATGCCTTTTTTTTTTTTTTGCATACTTTAAATGCTTTCAGTATCACTTGTTAAATTTCCAAACCCAGAGAGATGACACTCATCCTAGAGAAATTATATTCCTTGAGGTTTAGGGTTAGAAGTTTATCCATGAAAGCTGGTTCTATTTGGTTCTTTTCCTTCCAAACCTAATCCCAATGAATTAATTTTAGGTCACAACAGTTTTAGGTCACAACAGTTATATTTTCAGTCCCCAGTTGCAGTGGTTGGCGTGCATGACCCATGTACGGAGGCCTTAAGTCCTTGATGCGGCCGACCCAGGTTCGAATTCGCACTGTGGTCCTTTGCCGCATGTCTCTCCCTCTCTCTCATATCCCCTTTCCTGTCAGCCTACTGTCGAAAAAACAAGCCACTAGTGACGTAAAAAAAAAAAAAAGTGTTTAACTTTCAGCTTCTTAACCTCCTAATTACTAGTAATTAAACTTTTTCCTCTTTGGAAGACATTTGTAAACCTTAATATCTCTCACTAACTGCATATTCCTGAATTAACTCATGTTATCTACATAGGCCCTTAGGGGTCATAATTTTCTCTTCCTCATCCAGGAAAATGGCGTCCATCTGTGCAAGCATATTTTATGGGGTGATGAAAGATAAGTGCATAATACACTGTTAGTTTAAGAAAAGGGCAATTGATTTTTGTATTAAACTTAAAAGGCATAACAAAGTCAAACTAAAATAAAAATAAAAAATGGTGATGGATAGCTATGTGGATATTAAGCTCAGGCTTATGTTGAAGTCTTGATGTTATTCTATCTGAGTAAGTTGTTGCCATCAAGGTCTAGATCCTAATGAAAAGTCCAATGTAGTGGACACCTGATACATAAAATTATTTTCAGTTCACCAATCGTATCACAGAGATAGAGGAATTAAAAAAACAAAACAGAAACAAAAAACAGTGAGTGGACAATGCATTTTTTTCCTGTTTGTCAAGATTGAATATAAAAGATGTATCTCTCTTAGTTGCAGCAGTCAGTAAAGCAGTTTAATACCTTTATTTTATTATTTTTACCTCATTAAATTAATATTAAACAGAATTTAGCGTAAAACCAAAGCTAATAAACACATGACTGCCATTGTGTATTACTCCTTTTCTTTTCTTTCTGATGAAAAAAACTCCTGGGAAGGAAGAAATGTATCCTTTAAACAAATTTCAATGGGCTTTTAAACTGATTTAGTTTAACAAAGAGAAACATTTTCAAAATAAAATTAAAGTGACCATTTGAACTCATGCAAAACTCCTACCTCTTTCTGGCCGTAATCTATAAGGTTTTGCAGATCCACATCATCTCGGTAGTGAACTATGGCATTATTGATTATTTCTGTTACTTTGTGTCTTGCCTTGAAAGAGGAGGAAAAAGAAAAAATACATTATAATTATGCATGTTGAAGCACTGTAATTGAAACTGAAAAATAAGGCTGAATTAAAAGCTTGTTTAAAGTTGACAGGCAGGTGGTTATACGGAGAATCCACCAGACTCCGCCCAATCCTCGATTTGTACTGGAGGAGCTGCATGCACAATTTTTGAGCGTTAACACTGAAAGAAACCAATTCTAAATTTAAGCAGCAAATGTTGTTTAATCTTCAAAGTTTAATATTAAAATAGTTCAATTTTGCAAGATTAATACACACAAAATCTTCAATTCTTGATTGACTTTGAGTTACAGGTTTTTCATATAAAAAAATAATTAAAAGTTGGACTGAATTTTAAAGATCCTCTAAAAAAAAAACCCATCCTTTTACAAGCTAGTTCAGATTCTCCTTTAGTCTTCAAATCGTCCAAAAATCTGTTCAAAAACTCTTTTAATCTGCTTTTAACTTAGTTTTACTGACAAATCAATGCTAATATTTAACAATGCTTGATTACCTTGTCTGAAAAGATGAAGGCCAGAATACCAGCAGCCAACTGGATTATAAAGATCACTATCAGAGAGATGCAGAACTGGGATGGGTAAAAAACAAATCATTTATATCAGTATGATAACATAACTGTAAAGCAAATAATTCTTCATTTTTTTTTCAATTCACTTGATACTAATCTATTGTGACAGTTTACTGTACCTGGCAAATTATTTACAGCCCTAACAACCACAAAATATCACAGGTAAAAATACATTTGTGAAAAGACTGAAAAAACATACCAGTCTTTATGTTTTCTACAAATTAATATCTAAAAAATAACAATCGGAGAAATACTTTTTCACCCCCCCTGCTCACAAGACAGAAATTCATCAATTTGACAATCTGACCTTCATGGAGGAATGTAAAAGAAAAGTTAATGTTGAAATACAAGCTGTAAGATGTAATTTATTACAATTTGTTAAAAGTCAAGTGGGAGATAAAAAAAGGTGGAGGAGAAGGTGCTCTAAACAGATTATTCTAAAACTAAAGTATTAGCTGGCACATCATACACAATGTGAAACACGGTGGTGGCAGCATGATGCTGTGGTAATGCATGTGATCAATAAGGAAGGAGAATATTTATATTTAGGTGTATTTTTTTGCATCCTTGTGATTCAAATGAACAGCTAAGTAATTCATATTAAATAAAAGGTCAACAATATTTAAAACCCAATTACTGTCTGCAGGAGGCATGTGTTTTCACGCAGAGAGCCCACACAGCCACAGAAGGTAATTATGAACATCAGGATTCCAACAACTATAAGCATCACGGCGGGATCCAATGACAGACTTGCCAGGGTTGTCTCTGCAACGAAAAAGGAAACCTAGAATTCACACATTTCATCTGTTTTTCTGATAGATCTATGTAGCAGTGAAGCTTTTTTTAGAGAAAAGTCCCAGTCCTGACTCTCAGATATATAAGACAATTTACCTGCATGCTTTATCACTCGGGCATAAACACCGATTGCCACCATTACCAGGGAGACTACCTGAGAAGAAAATCGAAAATGACAGAAAACAGATTAATGTTTGCTGAAGAAAACCATTTTGTGTGTTTCTACTTGTCGGGGGTACGGCACCCTCTAAACATCTTGATGATGAGAAAGATGTGCAGAGGGCAATTATGAGTCACAGTTTTATCTTCATGATAAATGTATTTAGAGTAATGAAATCCTCTCTTCACTCTTTTTTTCATGACTAATTCCGCCCGTAAATAACAAAGTGTTCCATTCAGCTCTGCATTTCCATTATAAAGAGAATAAAAGAAAAGCATTCGAGAAAAAAAAAAAAAACCTTCCCAACCTGAATGAAAATAGATCCTATTACCAGAAAGACTGCAGCATTGTGAGAGAGAAGCAACGTGATTTCACTGCCTTGTTTCCTAAAGGCACAGCAAACAATCTAGAGCTGTGGTATATTATGCCTGCAGGCCAGATTTCTATTAGAAAGTATAAAAATATCTTAATAATCAGCACAACCTTAGTAGATTAGTCATGACTGAAAAACGGCCCATACATGCAGAAACAAATGTCTGCAAGTAGTATACTAAACCCAAAGTAGCCGGAGGCAGCAGAAATTATACAAACACATTCCAAGCTTCAAGTTCACTTAACAGCTGCTTACTGAACATGCTGAATACAAACTAACGATCAGACATATCTAATTTTACAGCAGTACTCATCAATCAAAATTTTGCAGTTTTAACTTTAGCAGTAAGGAAAAGAAAAAAAGTCTACAAATCTCAGCAGGTTTAATCTGTAACTCCAGCTTGCAAAATACTGCAACTGATCACCTGATGCTGAAACCCTGCATGGACTTTATGGGCTTACTGTTTTGAAGTAAGCCCATGATGAAGTATGCATCATGTTGTGCAGTTTGCAAGAGATTTTATTTATTTTAACAATAAAAGTGTGAAAGTTTCCCCAAATCTTCTGTTTCCCTCTTTGTTATATTGTCCTTTCAAACTTCTTATGTAATATCTCAGATATTCAGTCATGTTTCTACAGGTTCAGAGGATTGCTGCTGTTTTTTAGGTAAAAGTAAATGAAGGTCACTTCACGGCTGAGTCGCTGCGAGCTAAAACCCTCTCTGTGTTAAAAAGTAACTAAAACCAAACAAAGAGGTGGACACAGAAAACCAACAAACTTAAACAAATCAGAATGCTTAGATCTCCTCAAATTAAGAACAATAATTACAATAGGGAGAGGTCTAACAGGGAGGTATGCTGTCTAATGCACACAGAACAAAAGTTTGGATCACTCACCCAGAAAATAAAATTGAACAAGAACAGCAGGTATTTCACAACCGGACTAATAAATGTGAAATCCTTGTCGGAGCGAGATGCGCCTCTGCGCTGTTCTTCCATGGCTGCTTTATGGAAGTCTGCGCACAGGAAACCCAATGAATCCAGAAACGCGTTCCTGAAAATCAAACAGTATCAAAAGCATTATGATGACGGTGATGGTTGATAAAAGGTGGAGGGAGGCCGGTTGCAGCCACAGCGTTTACTGGTTCATCTGCACTGGGTGGTGCGCTTTGAGTTTCACGCCTTTCCATGTGATCACGTGATACAAACAACCTGCAACTAGGAAGGATGATTTTTTTTTTCATTTTTATTATATATTTTTATTTTTTATTTTTTTTTACACTTAGACAACTTTTATTGACATTATGTATACATAGTGTATACACAACGAAATTTCATTTAGTACAGCTTTCAGACAGTAAATGAACATTTCCAGTGATCAAATGTAAACAGTGTGGGAGAAAAAACATACACACACACACACACACACACACACACACACACACACACACACACACACACACACACACACACACACACACACACACACACACACACACACACACACACACACACATATATATATAGATAGATAGATAGATAGATAGTTAGATAGATAGATAGATAGATAGATAGATAGATAGATAGATAGATAGATAGATAGATAGATAGATAGATAGATAGATAGATAGATAGATAGATAGATAGATAGATAGATAGGACAGGGGAATGCTGCTGTCTCCACAGCTTAGACTGGTATCGGATTGCACTACCTGTGGTGTCGGTAATTGACAAGAGAATATCATTCTCATATTAAGTATAACACAATTTCTATTTTACCACATCAGTATATGCACCAAATTTATGAGCAAGGGTATTAGCTTGAACATACTATATTCTACATTTTCTACATATCATCATCATGACAGATTCTCTGTGATGGTGACAGATGATGCTTATTTGTTTTACAGGCAAGTTGAGAATCCAATATTTTCATTCTAAAGCACTTTTGATACCACATATCCTCCTTTACTTAATTTTCACAGTTGTGTGAGTCTGTCTATGTGTGTTCAAATGTAAATTCATTTAAACACATTCCTGAAGAAAAAATATCTGCTATAATAGGATAAAACCAACGCAAGGAATTGCTTCAATTAAATCATAGTACTGTCTTACTTACAGGCTGTAACAAAGGAATACCATATTTTTAGATAATTCAATAAGAAAATAACATTTAACCATTTTTTTAGGCTTCTGTAAAGTTCTTCATGATGCTCATTGTGAGTTTAAAATAGATAGCTAAAAGAGGAAAAATAGACAAATAATTAGATTCATTAGGAGTTTTGAAAAAAATTATAAAAATCGGTGGCTCAGAAAAAAAAAATTCTGTTAGTTTATTGTGTTTTTTCCCCTTGGCTTGTTCAACAATTTAAGAAACTCATATTATAACTACCTTAAAATATATTCAGACGGTTCTAAAAACTTAAAAGGACTTATGTAAAGAGGAATATTTATATACCAGAGTTTAAAATATATATTTCTAAAAGAAAATATCAGATCAACTACTTGTTTTCATAGCAGAAATGGTGGCAATTATACTAAGCTTACAATGGGTAGAGGAGGTTAGACCAGACAGGGTGGTGGTATGTACTCCAAAGCAGTTTTGGAAAGTATGATAAAATTATAGAAAAGATTTAGTATTAGAAATCCGGCACAGTCTATTCAGATTATATAGGGGTGGCATTGATATTTGGTTATGTTGGGTTCCAGCAAATTAAGGTGTAAAAGACAATAAAAAGGCAGATATATTGGCAAAAAGGGCTTTAGATGGTACAATAACCATTACAATTCCTTTTGGGAAAGGGGAAGGTAAATCACTTATTAGAGTAAAGAAATGGCAAAATAGATGGAACGAAGATAAGAAAGGAAGAGGATTATATACGGTACAAAAATCAAGTAAACAGAATCCTTAAAGAGAGAAACAAAAAGGGAAGAAGTAATAATCATCAGATTAAGAGTGGGTCATACCTATTTAAATGAAAATATATATTTAATAGTGAGGAAAAATAATGATAAATGTGAAGGATGTGGACAAATATAAAATTTAGAACAAGTACTGATGAACTGTACAACTTATGAACATGAAATGGAGAAATTAAGAAGGATGGTTGGAAGGATATGGAAAGAATGGAGTCTTAAAGGAATATTGGGAAATTAAGGAAATAGAAAGGATATTTAAGGATTAAGGGAAGCATTATTTATTTATCTACAGAATACAAAATAAAAAAAAAATAGAATTTGATGCAAAGTAATGTTGCTACACACTCATGTACAGTAGGTGGCGGTATGCACCATAAAGTTGCTTGCTGTCCGCCATAATAGACAAGAAGAAGAGGAAGATTTCCCTCCAGACGCCACCAGCAGATGGCTCTGTTGTGTGGTAACGCTGCAAATGCTACAACGCCAGGACAAGAAGAAGAAGAACACTTGTTCGATGTATCCGGAAGTTGCTTGCTTTCGGAGCTCTGGAAGACAAATGCAATTTAGTGTTTTACTTCTTTCACTAGAGGTTTCCAATAGTGAAAATGGTGCGGAGTGGCAAAGGTTTGTCCCATATGTTACATACTTACCTGCTAGTTTCGTTACTTAATGTCTCCATTTCAATAAACGTTGCAGATATTTAATTAATACCAATGCTAATTTTAGCTCATTCTCGCAGTGTTTAGAAGTGAATATAGGTACTTTGAATCTTCAAAATCTACTTTGCTTCATAAAAGACCTGGCTGTTGTGTCGCTTTTAGGCTCCCCGCTTCCTCCAGCGTCCTTACAGCTGTTGGTCCCACCTGTCAGGCTGATGTCTGCCTTCGTGTGGAAAGCGGTGCAGCAGGACAGTGCTATGCAGTATGAGAAGCTGCTGGACTTCATCGACCTGCTGACAGAGGTAGTCCCGGAGCTTCTCAGTCCCAGTCAGAAGGGTCAGCTCGTCCTGGGCATCAGAGCAAGGGTGAGCAAAACAGTGACCCTTCTCACCAGACCGTGAAAGAAACCAGCCTATTTGGTCAAGCCTTCTAGCACTTTCCCCTCTAAATTACATATGAAGCATTAAAGCATTTTTGTCTTGCAAAAAAAGTCAACATTTATACACCAAAACCCTACACAGATCCCGCACGGATTCTTTAAAAAGCAGACATTTGGGGCTGAAACAGTTCAATTCAATTCAGTTTATTTATAAAGCGCCAATTCACAACACATGTCATCTCAAGGATCTCTACAGTTCACCAGATCAACAGTCAAATTGATTACAAGTTTTCTATCTAAGAAAAACCTGTTGATTGCATCGATTCATTGACTCGGATGCAATCCCTCACACTAAGCATGCTTGTAGCGACCGTGGAGAGGAAAACCTCCAGCAGAACCAGGCTCAGTGTGAGCGGCTATCTGCCGAGGCCGACTGGGGTTCAAGGAGACAGAAGCAGAGATACAAAAATCAACTGTAAAAGGCCACCCCGTCCAGGAAACACACAGCCAGGCAGACGAGCTCGGAGCCAACTCCCATGTCAGAGGATGAAGAGAGCACATCCAGCCAGTCACAGTCAGAGAAACAGGACACTGGAAAAACAGGCCAATCTCCAACATACAGTTAATGGGATTAATCGATTATTGAAATAATCATCAACTAATTAATAAATGAATCGTTAACTGGAGTGTAGAGACTTGAAATATGCTTTTAGCTGACAGAGAAAACTGGTTTAATTTAATAAAATTCTCCTTTAAGGAACCTTTTGCTATCCAATTATGAATTGATTAATTGAAAAAATAATCAACAGATTAATCGATTTGCAAAAGAATCATTAGTTGCAGCCCTACAAACGTTACCACAGTAAACAATAAGATTAAGCATCTTCTTAAAAAGCAATAACTGTAATCTGTTTTATTAAGATTTTATCTCGAATCTATTGTATTAGTCTCTCATGTAGCTATAGTATTTTTGGCTCATTTCCCTTTTTTCTTTTCTTTTTGTCATTACACTGTCACATGTACCGTGCAACGAAATAAACCCTCTGCATTTAACTCATCCCCTTCAGCTAACCAGCCGCTAGCTCAAGTGGTATCTAAGCACTCATATCAAATAAGAATTATTAGATATATTGCTTCATTTCAGCGAAGCATTTAGATGTTTAAAAACGGCCTCGCATCTGACTCTCCTGAGCCTTACAGCTCAGAGTTTGCCTATTCTCCTTATGCATGAAGGTTTTTACTCTGAGTACCTTGATTTCTTCTTACTGTTTTATATACTGTCTCTAAAATGATCCCCACCCAGTATGGGTTTGTGTTTTATGGTGTGTTTTTTTTGTTGTTACCCTATTATTGACTGGCTAACTTGTTCCCCTTCTCTTGCTAATTGAGGACTGGAGATGGGAAGGGTACCTAAAATTAATTGGCTTGTATAGCTGAGGACTAGATTATTTTCATATTTCTTCCCATTTGTCATGAACTTTGTCTGCAACCTAAATTGTTGTGGTATTTGTGGATTCATAAACATTGGAGAATCCCTCCAGTGCCTCTCCAGTTTAAACAGTTCTAAACTGATCCAAAGCAGGTCAGCCAATCACGTTGCAGTATTACAATTTAAGATGGGACACATAGCTGTGATGAAGGCAACAACTTCCGAGCTCACAGCCCAATCAAAATAAACATGGCAGTGCAGGACGACGCAGGCGTAGCTGCTGCTATCACATTTTTTTGTCAGAATCCATGATTTCATCTTTAAAAGAGGAACGGCAGGAGTACAAAACTGTAAGTGATTGTTGTTTCTCTTGGCTTCTGCTGCTTTTTCATTTGTTATCATGATTGGCTAAACCAAATCTGTCTTTTTAGGTTTATTCGTCAGATGTTTGTAGCTTCTGTTGATGTCTATGCTCTATCTTTATAACCTCTCCAACCTTTTATCCCACTGCAGTTTGTTCTGGAGCTTTGTCGGGGCAACGGTGTTGCCAACCTCAAGACCATCCAAGGACACCTGGATAAAATACACACCTGCTGCCTGGAACTGAGCAACAGTGAACAAATGGTGAGCTTTCATAAAATATAATAATCCGTGTATCATTCGTTCTTTCTATTTTCAATTGCCAATCAAAAAACAAAAAATAAAAAATTGACTGGTTATTTTGTTATTTGTTTTTTATGGTTAAACCAAAAACGAAAAAAGGATTTGTTTTTCATATATCAATTCTAAGCTCAGATCAAGAATACGAAATGGAAAAACGCAGAATTTGATTTTAATATTTAATCGGTACAGTTTACGTGACCCGGAAATAGCTCTTTGCGAGGCAGTGGGGTGATGAAGTGGCTACCATGGCGACGCTAGAACGCTGTTTGTTGTTGCTAGTTAAAAGTACAGTGCACAGAAAAGTTTCAAGAAAAAAGTTATACCTGGAAAATCCTGCAAATTTTCTCCGTTGTCATGTCCTCCTCAAGAGTCACACGCTTGGATCCTCGAAATAAAACGTAACTGTCCATGGCTGATAGGTCCGACTGCCTTATCTGGTGCAGTTTGATCGAACGTGGTGGGAGTAAGCCAATTGTTTTTTTAGCTAACGCTCCACCAAACTTCCGGGTCATGTAAACTGTACCGATTAAATATTAAAATCAAATTCTGCGTTGCTGTCCGTTTTTCCATTTCGTATTCTTGATCTGAGCTTAGAATTGAAATATGAAAAACCAATCCTTTTTTCGTTTTTGGTTTAACGATAAAAAACAAAAAACAAAATAACCAGTCAATTTTTGATTTTTTTGTTTTTTGATTGACAATTGAAAATAGAAAGAACGAATGATACACGGATTTATAATAATCCTTTTGCTCAATCAAAAAAGTTAAAATACAAAAGAAAGAAAAAGAATCTGATCATTAATGTTTTTGATAACTTTTGTGCACCCACTTCTTGACAGGAGAGCTCTGATATTCTGAAGACCTCCTACAGCAGCTTTGCAAGCCTGGTGCAGAACATTTTGAATGTTCCCTTGGAAAAGGAAGTTTTCTTCCAAGTAAGTTTTTTTTATTTTAGATATATTATATCTCAGAAAATAAATCTATATATCTTTTAATTTAAAGGTATGGTGGAGGATTTTCATTATTTTTTTAAAACTGCCCTGTCTATAAAAAAAAATGCACACGCACAACACTGTACCCGGTTCCGAGAGGGCCTATTGAATGTGTGCGAGAGCATGCACAAGCCCATTACTCCTGGTGTACTCTCTGTTTAAAAGTTTAAGACTTTTTACATTTTCCACTATGTGGGACTCACACTGTTAAGTGAAAATGGGGACTAACACTTAGGACGGCCTTACGTAAACATATCACCAGAATGATTGACAATTAGGAGAACCAATTATTTTCATGATCCACCCAAAAAAAGAACATCTTCCACTATACCTTTAATAAAAATAAAAGGTCAAAAGTCTAGCCCCCCTCCATTAGTGAATGTAAATAACCTCTGATTTAAAAAAAAGCAATCCATAACATTATCAGAAAGTAAAACCAATTTAAATCTGGCCCTTTGGTTGTATTTATAGGATGTTTTTCCTGAGCACTATGGAGCTGCCTTCAACCAGCGGATCCAACAACTTGTATCTTTACTTCTCACAAGGCTAGAGCAGCTGCTGCCCATACCGGACCTGCAGCAGGTACTCTAAAAGCTTCTACACAAGCACATATTTTGCTTTTGTGTTTTCCCACCATTCATATGGATTCTGTTTGTAAATATCACTGAGCTGTCTGCACGCCTGTTGTCTTCTAGACTGCAAACTGGCTCAATGATTCATCTGCAGCAGAAGACCTTGTGCATCATCTGTCTGAACTGTTCCCTCTGAAAACTCTGCTGCTTCATCACAGAGAGCTGGGGACTCTCAGCTCAGGTGAGATCAATGATCCACTCTATCTTTTCTTTTTAAATCTAAAGTGGCTCCAGTCTGTAGCGAAGTTTTTCTTTTACAGCTTCTTCGAGCACAGAAGAGGATGTCATTTTATCCACCTTGGCCCTTTCTACTCAAACTGATCAATTTAGTGAGGAGGATGATGATGATGAGGACGATGATGATAAATTTGAGAGCGATGAAGAGCCACTGGAGCTGGATGATATGGAGGAAGACTCAAATCAGAGTTTAGATGATGCATCGGAAGACTGGGTTCCAGAAACTAAATCAGGTCAGCTGCAATCTAAATATACTCTTTAATCAGTTACCATCTTACCTTACCCAAACTGGTTTTTGCTTTCTGTGTTTTCAGGTTCTCTCTCTCGTTTATTCATCTGTACCAAGAGTCCAGAAACACAGCATTTACAGAGGCCAGTTCGAAAGACCAACCAGCGCACGCAGCACTGGACTGTTCCTCTTGACTCCACCAAAGCAGAGAAAAAGGTAAACAAAAATCTTAAAATTAAGGAAATGAAGATTAAAAACAAGAAACCAGAAGAAAACTTAAATCAACAGAAAGGCAAGCAGAAAGACAGTGTTGACAAAAAGGGGGAACATGACCAGAAGAAAGATGGGTTTAAAAACAAAAGTCGACGGAAAAGGAAAGAGCCGACTGGCAATGATAGAAGGTTTCTTAGTACGCGACCTGTAAACAAAAGCTTCACAGAAGAGGAAACTAAATGCAAAATATGTGAGAAGACATTTGAGCATCCTAATCAGCTGAAGACACATGTGAAACTCCACTCCTTCCGTTATAGCTGCATTGAGTGTGAGAAAGGATTTACAAGCCAGTCAGGATATTATCACCATCAGAGACTTCACAAGAAAGGGCGAGTGTTCACGTGTAAGGAGTGCAACAAGGGCTTCTTGTGCAGTTATTCTCTCAAGCAGCACGAACGCCTGCACAATGGTCCCACCAACTTTTGTGAAATTTGTGAAAAAAACTTCAGCAAAAATGGCTTTGTAAGACATATGCAGATGCACAAAGGAGAAAGGAATTATCTGTGCACCATCTGTGGAAAGGCTTTTCTGTCCTCCGGGGAACTGCGACTGCACAATCGCTCTCACACAGGAGAGATGCCATACACCTGCAACCACTGCGGGAAGGGTTTCTCCTGCAAGGGTCACCTGGTCGTCCACACACGCTCTCACACGGGGGAGCGTCCATACCTGTGCTCCGAGTGCCCTAAACGTTTCCTTACCCTGAACTGCCTGAAGAGGCACGCTCTCAGCCACAATGGGGTGAAGCCCTTCAAGTGTCCAAGTTGTGACCGGGAATTCTCTCAGCAGGGGAATATGAAAAGACACATGACCATTCATAAACCTGACTGTTAGCAGTTTGACTTAAACCTCCATATTTTTCTTCCATGTTATGTTGAGTATGTTAGTAATGATTATCTCTATGCCTTCTTTATTGTAAATACTATTAAAGTACATTCACTAAATTTCGTTTTTGTTTATTTTGCTGCTTCCTGATTGAATTTTCATCAATTTTTCTTATTTTAATATATCTTTTTAAATGTAATTGTGTCACTTCAGCAAAGCCTTGCATGTAAAAACTGACCAATACAAACATCTAAGACAAAACTGAGAGAGATGGCTGCCCACGTTTACTCTGAATCTGCTCTATGCCTCCCTATCTTATAGTGAGCAGATTAATTCAAAGACATTGTTTTCTGAAATGTTGTTGTGGCCCCAGAAAAATACAAAAAAATTGATGATCAAAAAGCATTTTGAACTTCTGTTTTCATATTTATAAATGGTCGGCAGTCCTATTTTGTTTTAAAGTCTTTATTCTAAAAGTTTCTAAAAGTGATCTATTCTAAAAGCTGAGATGCTTTTAGAAATTTATCGTACATTATTCTGCAATTATGTGATTTCTATTGTATATGAGGAGCTGTAACCCTTTTCTCTGTTTGATGGTGAATCTGGCTAATATGTTTTCTTCGTTTGATGTTAGTTGAGATCACATAAGATATTTTTGAGAGCTTTTGTTGTGATACAGGTTTTTATACTGACGTCATGTCATTTCCTTGTGCACTTCAAATTAGAAAATCTGCTGTCTTTGTAGCAGATCTGTGGATGCGTTTTAAGGCAGCGTGTAAAACTCACTGCTTTCCTTGTTCGACATCTTAAAAGAAAATAAACAAGCCAAAATATCAGGAAGGGAATTGAAATGTGGACCTCCAGAAGTCCAATTTGTAGTTATTATTGCCATACCTGCGGGGTCATTCCTGTTCTATTTAAACTATCGTACATAATTAACAGCTTGGGAATGTCAGGGGATCATGTTGTCTAAGAAAAATACAGATCAAAGATGTGCATCAACCCCAAAGCAAAAAACCTTAAGAAAATGCTTTCTTAAGCTGGAGAGGAGGTGTCCTTCTGTAGTGAATAAAACCCCAAACCAACATGACCTGAAAAGCATCAGATGCACTGATTTAAAGCTGGCTGCTCCTGGATTCTAAAGCAGTGGGTGCCCGTTCTCTCTAATGATGAATCCATCCATCCATGCTTAGTCATTGTCAGGGGCTGGTGCCAATCTCCGGCAGTCTATGGGCGAGAGGTTGGGTACACCCTGGACAGGTTGCCAGTCTGTCGCAGGGCATCTTGTAGACACACAAAGTCCCCATGCAGACACACACACCTGAGGATAATTTAGAGAGGCTTAGCATTCATGTTTTTGGACTGAGAGGAAGCCAGAGTACCCGCAGAGATAATTGATGAATCCATCTTCTTCATTTAACAAACCAATCTGGGTTTTCTTCAGATGTGAAAGAATGGATTAGGTTGCTGGTCCATAAACATCCCTACCTGGTGGACAAAGCAGCTAGGATTTTGTAACCAGATAAGGAAAAGGGAACTGAAACACAACTGTAGGAAATGCAATTTATTTGCAACTTTTAATAACATCATTCCTCAGATAAAAATGCAATGTTACAGGAATATACATCAGATATTAATTTAAAACTTGCTTTCAAGGGACCATACAGTCTAAATATACTTTTTCCTTTTTTATTTACTGGTAGCGTGCGTTATAAGCAAGACAGACTCTGTCACCAATGACAGACTGACAAGTTACAGATACAAACTGTACATAACTTATTTACAAATCAACTTTTTTTGGTTTATTTTTTTCAATTAACTTTTTATGGAAAATAGGAGTAAAAAAAGTGATTGAATTAATATTCTGATTTATTTAACTTGTATTCTTTCCCTTTCTAAAATCTAAATTAAATGGACAGATAATAAAAAAAAATTGAAAAAAAGGAAAGAGAAGAAGGGAGAAAAAAAAGGGTGTGTAAACTAAGACACCATGCAGTCCTCGCTAATAGACCAAAAGACAACTAAAGGAAACTAAATAATGATGGGCCAGTATCACTTCTTCGAAATTGGTATCAATGAAATCCCACCTGCTGTGGAGGGGGAGTGGCTTATTGTGAAGAACTACAAAAATGGCCACCTGCCTCCGAAGCTACCAAGCACAATAACATACTCTAATTTGTTATTTAGACCATAAATAGTGCTGTTAGTTAATATCACATTTAACAGTTTCGCCATTACTAACATTTCAACAAATTGAGCGTCATCTTCCTCTAAAGGACAAAAGACTCAGAATAAACATCTTTCAGATGAGTTAAAAGCAAACTGCTCAGTCCTGTCAGTAATGGCCCTTGAACACTTTGCATGGGCTGTAACCAAAGACACAAAAAGGACCGTGAGACCTTGCTGCTGACAGGAGAGTAGAACACACACCTCTGGAATACACTCAGGTAATGAAGAAATTAAAAAAAGTATATAGATGCTGAAGACGACTTGATGTAAACAGTGATAAATCTGCATTTCCCCACGTCACACAAGTCATTTAATGTTTCTTACTCTTTGTGCTCTAAAAATGGAAACCTAAGTGACAAAACCTTCTTTGACCGTGATTACCCTAAACATTTCCTGTAAGATCACTAATCATTTAGCAGATTATTCTATTTTTAAATCTTGGTTGTAAAATCAGCAGTTTAAGACAAATGAAACAGACATTAAGTCAAAAGGAGGTTAAGAACCATTGTTCCCATTCCTCTGGGGTCTAATCAATGGTTGGCAAAATACACACACTGAATGAATCAATTATATGAATTAAAGATCATATGGGTGTGAAAAACAAATCTTGTTGCAATCTTGTGGGGGTCTTCAAGACTTTTCGATTTACTGAATTTTTGCATAACCGTTACAAAAATAAAACAAAGGAGCACAAAGCTTTCAAGGACCTATTAAAACAGTCATTCTAAGTATTGACATATAGGTGCTGATGTATGTGCTGCTACACAATGAGTGATTTATACATAGTTATTCTGCATGCTGTTTTAATCCTACAGTACAAACAAATCTCTCCTGTTGCCTCCAGAGAAAAGGATGTGGGCAGCTCATCCCCACCAACCTCTGATACGCTCAGTAAAGAATTAGATCACTGACAAAAAAGCGATATACTGAAAGAACATACAGGTTATAAATTAGGTGTGTTTATGTATGTGTGTTATTTCCACATACAGTAAATAAATCATCCCAGTATAGTTCCTACAGAATCCTTCACCGCTCTGAGCCGTTTATCAATTCAATTATAGCAAGGATTCACTTTTTTGCACAAGCAACAATTTCAAGTGGGAAACATTTTTTTCAGAATGTAAACTTATCGTTTATCTGTCAATGCAATGGAAGCCTCTTGTTGCTCATAAAACTCCCCAAAAACCCAGCTGTCCTCCTAAGTCAAAATTAAAAAAGCCAGCATCTGCACAATTCCAAAACTCTCACAACACAGGATCTGAAAACCTGATGTTTTTTTATTTATACGTCAAAATCATACAACAGAATGCAACATCTCTCACCAAACTGCTATTTCACATTTTATAATTTTGATATATTTGTATAATTTATTATCCAAAATACACAAATTTAATAAAACCATTTTTATGTATATATTTCTCTATATATAATCCCATCTTTTTCTTTCTGATCTCTTTCTGTCTGCATCATTAAAATAGTATCTGTACAACAAACACAGAGATGTTTCTTTCTGGCCTCCAACAAAAAAAGAAGAATTAGGATTTTGATTTGCTTTTTTCCTCAACAGGCTATGCTAACTTTACCTCAAAAATATAATAAAATCTCTATTCAAAATAGCCATCTTAAAATATTTCATCATGATTTAGCATGAACAACAAAGATTTTAATTTACAAGAAAAATATAAAGCGCTTCTGTTGCAACAATGGTAGATCCGCATCAGCGAATTGTGAGGAATAATTACTCCCAGCCTTCTGGTTTCAAAAAATTTTCCAGCATGTTCTTCAATGAACAACAAAAATCATTTTAACGTCCTTTAAATAAATGGCCATTCATTCTGATTCTGCACGTAGAACCTGTTGTGTAAAAAGTAGCAGTAGCATCATATCGCTTTAAAGCTGAAATCAATTAACCAGACATAAACCTTCTTATATTCTCCATTCATTTAAATATATGGATACAAATCTATATAGATGCAGTTTAAGTCCCCCAAATGCACCTCAGAGATACGCATAGAAGCTACACTATTATGATGGTTCACAATATATGAAAATCTAGTCCTTTTTAGAAGTTTATTTTCTATTTTTTGGTTTGTTGCTAGGATAATGCGTGTTTTGCTGATGTAGGACTACCTCAAGAGAGACCTGTCTCTTGCTGCTACAGTTGGAGTTGAAGAGCAGACACTGACCTGTGTGGACAAGCAGTCGATAGGTTGATGTTTTGAAAAAAAAAGAAAAAGCATAACGCTTAAGTCTGTTAGATTTCAGATCTGCCGGCTGATCTGCTGTGAGGTCTAACAATTAATTAAAAGCCCTAGTTTTTTATTGAGGTTTAGACAAAAAAACATTAGTTTTGCAGAAATATCCAAAAAGTTTGATAAATCCAAAATGAAAATGATCCAAGTGTTTATATGAATTATAGGCTACACAATGTAGTTGCAATATTTTCTGAATTTTCAAAGTTGGAAACTCTCCATGGGAATAAGGAGGATTTTTGGTGAATTCATGGGTATGAACAGGGATAAATAGGATTGAAACTTGATTTTAGACTAACACAGGTTGGCTCTTGTCAGACATTTAGGTAAATTAGTTTGGGAGGATATACATTTCAGCTTTGTGCAACACAATAATCTGTGACACCTCTCAATCACATGTAGCACAATGCTTACTGCAGGGACATTAAGGGCCCTTACATTTTTAATCCCATGCACAGATTATATCTCAAATCCTGGACCATCAAAGCCACATGTTTGAGCCTGGAGCACCAGAATAATATAAAACAAATTTTTGTTGTTTAGGATATGTGCTATCAATTCATAAATGTTCTATATATATATCTTATGTTTCCTTAATATGTCAAATATCTATTTTTTTCACAATTTCCCATTTA